AAATACGCAACGTGATCATCAATAACGCCGTGGCATTAAACGGAAAATATACAATAAGCGACAATTCGGACAATGACCCTTCCTAATGGCGCATTTTAGTTGTTTTATACTTTAAATCGCAGTATCTGCAACAGTTCCACAGACAACTTCCCACGGCCTTGCAAACCACTGCTCTTGACAGGCTCTTTAGTGAAGTCGACCAGCAGCAGATCGACCAGCAGACGGTGGGGCAAACCAACACCTCTTTCAAGAGGTCGTTCTCCAAAAGCGTTGTAAGCAATTGCAGGACTGCGCCTTTACCTTTTCCCCCTTCTTTAAATAAAACATATTTAACGATTTTTTTCTTCTTCCGTAACCTTAATCACCGTAAGCTGCTATCCAGGCATGCGGGACGAAATAAAGCCGTCTTTAGAAATGGAGCATCTCTCTGGGGAACGCACGTGACGAGAGGGGAGGTAGCGGGGGGAGGGTGGGGAACGGCGAGGGGAGGGGGGGTGCGGGGGGTGGCGGGGGGAGGGGGTGTGCGAGGGGAGGGGGGTGGCGGGGGGAAGGGGAGTGGCAGGGGGAGGGGGGTGGCGGGGGGAGGGGTGGCGGGGGAAGGGGGGTGGCGGGGGGAGGGGGGTAGCGGGGGAAGGGGGGTAGCGGGGGAAGGGGGGTGGCAGGGGTTCTTGGAGCGCACGTGGAGAGCTCTCCGCAGCGCGCATCACGGCGTTAATGATCTTTCCCGCTGCTCCGCCGACGTCTGTCAAAAAACCGCACGGGAATTCGAAGCAAAGGCAATGGGCAAACCGGCGGCAGCCATTTAACGTCGCGAGCGAGGGGAAGGAGCAGAGAGGAGAGTAGAGGACCTACCCGGCCCTCACACCTGGTGGACAGACATTAACCCCCCCCACCACCACCACCCACCGGTGAGTCACCAACAAATTCACTAGCAAAGTTACCAGCAAAGTCACCAACAAAGTCACCAGCAAAGTCACCAGCAAAGTCGCCACCAAAGTCACCACCAAAGTCACCAGCAAAGTCACCAGCAAAGTCGCCACCAAAGTCACCAGCAAAGTCACCAGCAAAGTCACCAACAAAGTCACCACCAAAGTCACCAACAAAGTCACCAGCAAAATCACCAACAAAGTCTCCACCAACAAAGTCACCACCAAAGTCACCAGCAAGCCCTGCGCAGCATGTTTCCTCTATCTGCGCTATCTCCAGGAAATGTGATCTTAGCGAATACGTACTGCCTGTGACCAAATCACCAGGGCATGCGCCCGACGTTGTCACGTCTCGAAAGCTAAGCGGGTTATTTTGGAGCCTGGAGAGGGTCCTCCTTAATGGTCGGTCACCATGCGTACAACAGGTGCTGTATATTCTTGTTTCTTTCGGCAAAGTCACGTAGAAGGGAAATAATAAAATAATAAAAATAAAACTATAAAAATTTCACGTTTCGATTGCAACACAAGCAATCATCATCAGGTGTGAAAACCACAGCAATATTTTTTTAAGTGGCGTTTTTTTCTTAACGTTAGCACCACGGACAGCGACTGGCGGTTGTTCAGACGGACGAGTCCGTCTATGCTCGGAACGGAGGAGGGGGGGGGGGAGAGAAGGAGAATGGAATGCGGTCTGAAAGTCACCGTAAGCGTGAACAAAATCAATCAAGACCCGAAATGGTTTATCACATCCTTCCAATGATTGCTAAGCCAGAATCCATCTTCTCGGTTGAAATTGTCTCTGTGTTTGTATATGTGGATAGCCTCATGAACGAATCTCTCATGGTAGCCGGATGGCTTGCAGAGAACCTCTGTCTTGGAGAAGTCAATGTCATGTGAGCCTACTGAATTATAACAGTGATCTGCCACGGTCGAGGTGTTAATCCTACCGTGTTTTAGGTCTGCTTTGTGTTCACGGATGCGGTCCGAGACATGTCGTTTGGTTTCAACAATGTAACTGCTACCACAGAGGCAACTTAGTTTGTAGACGCCAAGGTACTGTATGTCTGGAATCACATCTTTTACAGACGGAACCAGATCACGGATTTTATGTACTATTGAATCGGACCTGGATCTTGTGTTTATTCAGGATTTTGGATATCTTTTTGTGATCCCCGCAATGTAGGGTGAAGTGATGGTTTTGAATGGCTCCTCAAGAGGATCCTTCTTCATGGTTGGAGTGATTGCTTTGCGGATTGTGTAGTCGGAGTAACTATTAGCCTTAAGAGCTTGGTGTACGTGCTTGAGTTCACTGGCAATGTGTTCCTGGTCGGAGATGCATTGGGCTCTATGGTGTTGAGTCTTGATGAGGGAAACCAGGGGGGGTACCTCAGTGTTCAGTCCTTGATGAACAAAGTCTTCAATAATTGCGATGGTGTCATCAAGGACTGAACACTGAGGTACCCCCCCTGGTGAGACACTGCTTAACCAATACATACTTCACCTGGAATAGAACTTTCTACAAACAAACTGAGGGCACCCCAATGGGCTCCCCCTATCTCCGGTTGTAGCCAACGTTTTCATGGAGAAATTTGAGAATGACGCCATCCAGACTGCCACTCTACGCCCGACCTTGTAGAAGAGGTACGTGGATGACACTTTTGTCATCTGGCCACATGGCCGGCCTGCTCTAGACCAATTACTCGCCCACATCAATTCCATACACCAAGCCATCAGATTCACCATGGAAGTCGAAAAAGATGGCAAGCTACCTTATTTGGATGTCCTAATAAAAAAACAGACCTGATAGTTCAATGAGCCACTCTGTTTACAGGAAAGCCACCCATACGGGTGCTTACCTAAAACCGGATACCCACCACCATCCATCCCAGAAGAATTCCCTCATCAAGACTCTATACCATAGAGCCCAATGCATCTCCGACCAGGAACACATTGCCAGTGAACTCAAGCACGTACACCAAGCTCTCAAGGCTAATGGTTACTCCGACTACACAATCCGCAAAGCCATCACTCCAACCATGAAGAAGGACCCTCTTGAGGAACCATCACCTTACCCTACATTGCGGGCATCACAAAAAAGATCTCGAAAATCCTGAATAAACACAAGATCCAGGTCCGATTCAACACAGTACATAAAATCCGTGATCTGGTTCCGTCTGTAAAAGATGTGATTCCACACATACAGTACCCTGGCGTCTACAAACTAAGTTGCCTCTGTGGTAGCAGTTACATTGGAGAAACCAAACATGTTTCGGACAACAAGCAGACCTAAAACACGGTAGGACCAACACCTCAGCCGTGGCAGACCACTGTTATAATTCAGTGGGCTCACATGACATTGACTTCTCCAAGACAGAGGTTCTCTGCAAGCCATCTGGCTACCATGAGATTCGTTCATGAGGCTATCCACATATACAAACACAGAGACAATTTCAACCGAGAAGATGGATTCTGGCTTAGCAATCATTGGAAGGATGTGATACACCATTTTGGGTCTTGATTGATTTTGTTCACGCTTACAGTGACTTTCAGACCGCATTCCATTCTCCTTCTCTCCCCCCTCCTCCGTTCCGAGCATAGATGGACTCGTCCGTCTGAACAACCGCCAGTCGCTGTCCGTGGTGCTAACGTTAAGAAAAAAAACTACACTTTATTAAAAAAATTCTTGCTGTGGTTTTCACACCTGATGATGATTGCTTGTGTTGCAATCGAAACGTCGTGATAATTGTATTATTTTATTTTTATTATTGTATTATTTCCCTTCTACGTGACTTTACCGAAAGAACCAAGAATATGAATCCCTGCAGTCACGAAAGTTTTAAAACTTAAGGTGCTGTATAGGCTGCTAAGAACAGCAGTGCAGCAGAAACATCCACTGCTGTCGGGTGCTCTGCTCCCAACTTCTTATGAGAGCCACCTTCACATACCAACAATGAATGGCGTGGTAAAGCATGCTCAAATAACCACAACCCGCAGAGGTGTAGGGAGGCCCTCACGCAGCAGTAGACTGATAGGGTTGTGCACATGTATGTACGTGGCACTTCAATTGCACCGCAAGTAGCCAACATTGTTAATGAAAGTGGCCATTGGCAGAAAGCAGTTTGTGATGATGTTTGTTATGAAACCACGGTGCAGAGAGCCAGCTTGTGCTCGTCACGTAGGAATATTTGAAGGAGCCAAGGGGGTGCATGTATATGTATGATATTGCGGGGACGCAGTATATGGCTTGCCCCCTTCTGTCCAAAAAGTTGTACGGTTGCCTGCGGCTGGGGAGCAGATGCCCTCACTCACAGCGTGCGCACGGACAGTGTCAGCTGTCACGTTGGTGGCTCAGTGGTACAGAGAGAGAGAGCGGCTCACGATTGGAAGGGTTATGAGCTCAAATCTTCGTCGGAGGGGTTGGCTCGGCTCACCATCCCTCGATGGGTTTGACATAACGAGCACCACTTTATTTGCGAAGTCATCAGAGGTTGTACTATGGTGAGGCTCGCCTCCACCATGTGGCATTTCCTACCAGCGGCTTCGGGGCCTGGAAACAGGAGGTGAGCACAGCCTGGCTCCATGCTCATTTAAGCAGAAAATCACTTTTCACTATGAAGGAGTAGACCTGGGCCTTGCGGCCTTGAAATCTCACTTTCAAAAAAATATATAATCCCTGATGCACAGGTGGGAGGAGCCCGATGAGGAAAGTTGACACTCGCAAGCCATTATCTCATTTAAATTAGGGGTCATCAGTCATGCCCTCTCTTAGCTTATCAGGGGTTTTCTTTTTTGCAAAATAAGGCAAACGCATTTACCATCACTTGGTCAAGTTACATCGATTCACCTTCTTCGTAAAATTGTCCCTCACACCATGCTGCTCACACCAGATTTCATTAAGATGTGAGGGCCCAAAAGCTATTAACGCATTTGCCCTTAGACTAATTGATTAATCCATTATTGGCACATCATTTCATTATATGTGAATGCCTAACAGACGGTTCCTCTTTAAACCAACGTAGTTATTAATTCATTTCAGAAGGAACACTCGATGCTGAGAAAGCAGTTTAACACAAATAAATCACAAGGTCATCTTTAATGACATTAACGATTTATTTACAAGCACGGTACCACGCTGCTGTTGCGTTCAGTTGATTGAGAGAAACATTCATTCACGTTGCCACATTCTCGGGGAACTTGACAAAACATTTAATCAATCATTCTTTAGCGCCATGCAATTTTTTGTTGAAAGAAGCCAAACCCAAGCAACATTTAGTACGACGGTCCCTTCCGAGCAACCAGTCAACAGCCCACGCAGCATGCTGTACACGAACATACACCATAGCCCGATGGAGCCGTGGCATTAGTGGTTCGTGCATTGAGGTGTGAATTTCGTGATTTGCGTTCAATTCCAGGCCACGGCTGCCAACACCAGTGGCGAGCGATTAGCTAAACAGGTCCTGGACACTTCCTGCAACAACCCGCACTGACCATCACGGCGAAGTATGGTGAAGCAAGGGCACGTGGAGGCTTTTGTTCTTCATGATAAAGGGCTTCTAGCTCATGAGCACACACACCAGATATTTCACTTTGTCGGTACCACCTAGGGTGGCATCACTTAAGTGGTTCAAATTTATCTATGTGGCCCAATAACAGTGACTCGTGAGATACCCAATTCAAATGAGTGGACTTATCGGGTAATTCACTCTTACTCGTAGTGTAAATAAATCAGTAAATACGCCCATGGGACTATTTACGTTATGAAATCGTAGCAAAATATTTTGAATTTTTTTTCCACTGACAAGTAAAACATACTTTTTGAAAATCACGATTCATTTTTAAATAAGACACATTTTAGGACACGTCACACCAAGGATTTGATGAAGTCTGTTTTGTCCACGTAGAGCCTATGGAAGGCTTTTGCCAGGTAGAGGAACGGAGTGTCGATGTTCTCCATCTCCTTCTGAATTCCCGAGGGAGGGGCGCAGCGGTGGGGTTGGGCCGGGGGAGTGAGAGGCAATTGACACCCATGAATAATTTATATGAACACTATTTAAAATTTATAATGGCACCCACTGCCTACAGTTTTAACATTTAATCTAACACAAAAGCAGTTGTTTTTTTTACGTGACATATCATTGAATAAGAGAATATAATGTGCCAATGCATCTGTAAAAATTATAATTATTTATAAACAACGGAATTAAAACACCAAGCGTTACTGTGTAGATGTTCACGGTTGTGCCGTGGTGCTGGCCACCCACCCCCTGGTGTGCCGTGTTGGCCTTTACAGGTGCTCGCTAACAACACTTACCCCAACAGTCTGTCAAGACTATATGGGGGATATTTGTCTTTGCTGTGCAGCTCACCGGTGCTTTTTCAGGATGTACCGCTTTTCGTTTTGCACAATGACCGACTGTTCGCTCCATGAGCCTCCGTCAGTAACTGATTTAAGTGCTGGGAGCTTCTTCGGCAACCGAATGAGCACAGTTCGCTCGAGGGAGAAATTGAGCTCTTCCTGGAGAAGCTCCCCGCACGTCACGCCAAACAACACACGGTACGACCCAATTACACATCGCAGAGTTCAAAGTCAAGCATTGATTACTTACAGCAGAGGTTTCGAAGTACTCGAGCCCATTGGCGATGGCAAACTCCTGTCCCTGAGCTGCAGAGACCACTCTCCGGGGCCCCAGGTCAACTTTGTTACCTACAAGTACTCCTGAAACCAAAAGACAAACATCCCCAGTACAGCCTTTCAGAGAATGTTGGGGCAAGTACTGAAGTAAGCACCTATGAGGGCTCAAAGCGGCAGATTAATGGGTGGGTGGCAAATACCACGCCCAGCTGCCTGTGTCTTGCCAATGCCCGGTACCCGTTCAAATATTCGCCACTGTTACTGATCATGAGCGGGAATCAAACTCGGGTCGCCGGGATAGAAAATCAAAGTGTGCTAACCGCCGTACGACCGCTCTCCACACTTCTAAAAACCACACAAACACACATACACGTGCATGCTATAATTTATCCTCTCCCACACGGCACCGCCAATGCATCAGGCATTGTCAGAGGCGTAACAGCCTTGGACAAGCCTCAGGAGAAAAAAACTGCACTGTGAATTCAAATTTGTCATGCAAGTAAACTGACATGCCATCGCCCTTCTTCAATCAATTTGTTTGGAGTATTGCATTTGCAAAGGCTGACACTCGGGGCAACGCTTGTCATCCAGTCACTGAGAAACCCTGCCAGGGAAAATGAAAAAAGAAATCCCGTGCCAGTGGGGTGAAATAAACAGAATGAAAGAAGAGGTGGCCAGGTGACATGGAGGTCAGAGCGCCAAGCCTGCGCTGATGAGATACTGGGTTCTAATCCAGTTTGCTGCCTGTGATTAAAGCAAGTTTTCAAATGAAGGGAATTGATGGTCTCAGCTGGGTTACCAATTGCAGCACACAAAAAAAACCACCCCACGCCATTTAAACTTGGTATTGCAGACAATCTAAATTCCAGCTCCGAGGATTAAACATCATTTATACTATACTCTTTGGTTTAATTCGGTAAAGTCACGTAGATAAAATAAAATTGTTTTATTTTGTTTTATTTTATCTACGTGACTTTACCGAATAAAACCAAAGGGTATAAATCCTTGCAGTCACGAAAGCTTAAAATCTAGAATCATTTATACTATGATGTGACGAAACATTACTCTCATATGGCAGAGTGGGTGAGATAGTGTTGACCTCTACTGCGTTGAAGAGGTCACTTGAAATGGTCTCAGGTAGCTCTGTAATATCCAATTCCATGGACCACTCTCGCACGAAGGGTCGCGCTGTTCTGCGAGAGGTCCGAATGGATACCTTGTTCCAGGACATGATGCCAAGAGCACGATCAGGATATAACTAATTGACTAATTGAAAGAAAATTCTCGCTTGATTCCACTGTGAATGACGCCATTCTCCTTGTTGCGGGGCATGATTTGGTTCTATGACCCTTAAACATTTCTGTTGAGATGTGGTGGTGGTGGTGGTACTGAGGAGGGGAACGGAGGCAGTGGTGAATTGGGGATAAAAATGTGGAAAAAATAACGAAAAAACAAGGAAGAAAAATCGAGCATAAATACCGATTAAAATAATACTTTCCAACATGCGTTTGTCCTAAGAAGGCCAGAAGCCGATGGATAGCTGTCAGTGAAAAACACAACTGCATATTTGCAAATACGGGCAGTCCCTGACTTACAAGCTGGTTCCATTCCTAAGACCTGCCCATAAGGCTAACAGTCTGTAAGTCGGGACAGAATAATGTACTGTATTTAAATGTCCATACAGTCAGTGTTATAAAATGTGTTATGGTTAAAAAAAAATCGAAGCATTGTTAAACTCATAAATAAGAACAAATATTTGTACATTTCCATTTAATACTGTGATAAATACTCTATCGGAAATGCTTGTTAGAAGGGCGTAATGAGTCCCCACAATTGCACGCACACACACACAAACGGCGTATGCATGCACACACAAAACAATGACAACGATCCTTCTAATACCCATAACAGACTGTTGCGGCAAGTGCTGTTAGCGAGCACCTACAGTGAGGGAAAAAAAGTATTTGATCTCCTGCTGATTTTGTACGTTTGCCCACTGACAAAGAAATGATCAGTCTATAATTTTAATGGTAGGTTTATTTGAACAATAACAACAAAAAAATCCATAAAAAACGCATGTCAAAAATGTTATAAATTGATTTGCATTTTAATGATGGAAATAAGTATTTGACCCCCTCTCAATCAGAAAGATTTCTGGCTCCCAGGTGTCTTTTATACAGGTAATGAGCTGAGATTAGGAGCACACTCTTAAAGGGAGTACTTCTAATCTCAGCTTGTTACCTGTATAAAAGACACCTGTCCACAGAAGCAATCAATCAATCAGATTCCTAACTCTCCACCATGGCCAAGACCAAAGAGCTCTCCAAGGATGTCAGGGACAAGATTGTAGACCTACACAAGGCTGGAATGGGCTACAAGACCATTGCCAAGCAGCTTGGTGAGAAGATGACAACAGTTGGTGCGAATATTCGCAAATGGAAGAAACACAAAAGAACTGTCAATCTCCCTCGGCCTGGGACTCCATGCAAGATCTCACCTCGTGAAGTTGCAATGATCATGAGAACGGTGAGGAATCAGCCCAGAACTACACGGGAGGATCTTGTCAATGATCTCAAGGCAGCTGGGACCATAGTCACCAAGAAAACAATTGGTAACACACTACGCCATTAAGGACTGAAATCCTGCAGCGTCCGCAAGATCCCCCTGCTCAAGAAAGCACATATACATGCCCGTCTGAAGTTTGCTAATGAACACTCTGAATGATTCAGAGGACAATTGGGTGAAAGTGTTGTGGTCAGATGAAACCAAAATGGAGCTCTTTGGCATCAACTCAACTCGCCGTGTTTGGAGGAGGAGGAATGCTGCCTATGACTCCAAGAACACCATCCCCACCGTCAAACATGGAGGTGGAAACAGTATGCTTTGGGGGTGTTTTTCTGCTAAGGGGACAGGACAACTTCACCGCATCAAAGGGACGATGGACGGGGCCATGTATCGGCAAATCTTGGGTGAGAACCTCCTTCCCTCAGCCAGGGCATTGAAAATGGGTCGTGGATGGGTATTCCAGCATGACAATGACCCAAAACACACGGCCAAGGCAACAAAGGAGTGGCTCAAGAAGAAGCACATTAAGGTCCTGGAGTGGCCTAGCCAGTCTCCAGACCTTAATCCCATAGAAAATCTGTGGAGGGAGCTGAAGGTTCGAGTTGCCAAACGTCAGCCTCGAAACCTTAATGACTTGGAGAAGATCTGCAAAGAGGAGTGGGACAAAATCCCTCCTGAGATGTGTGCAAACCTGGTGGCCAACTACAATAAACGTCTGACCTCTGTGATTGCCAACAAGGGTTTTGCCACCAAGTACTAGGTCATGTTTTGCAGAGGGGTCAAATACTTATTTCCTTCATTAAAATGCAAATCAATTCATAACATTTTCGACATGCGTTTTTCTGGATTTTGTTGTTGTTATTCTGTCTCTCACTGTTCAAATAAACCTACCATTAAAATTATAGACTGATCATTTCTTTGTCAGTGGGCAAACGTACAAAATCAGCAGGGGATCAAATACTTTTTTCCTCACTGTTTGAAGGCCAGCACGACACACGAGTGGGTCGGTGGCAAGTACGACCCCACGGCCGCCTTTGACATACAGTGGCAATATTTACATACCGCACCAACAACTCATTTGAGGCTCAGTCGACCTAGGGGAGGCCCAGGACCCATTCAGATAATCGTCACTGGTGTTGGTCGTGAGCGAGACTCGAACTCGGGTCATAGCACAGCGCACTAACCATTGCACTACTGCTCCCCAAACACATATGGGGGCACGTGCACGCACACACCCGCGGCACATACGCAGTCACTTTCACACATACCTACTTTCACACACCCTTACTCTCAGTCGGATGCTGGGACTCATTGCATCTCGCGGAGGATCGCTCTGCTGAACAAAATAATTCTTTGGTTCGATTGGCAAGTACGAGTTCGCGTTCCCACGTCAGATGGTTAAAACATATCCTATGGAATCTCGTTCGTAAGTGCGGATGTTCGTAAGTCGGGCGTTCCTAAGTCGGGGACTCCCTGTAGTCCTTTTTGGGTTGGCCGCTTTGTGCCCGAAAATTTTGGGCGTGAATCAATTAAGCCAGTTTGATCAGTCCCGAAACGGCAACGCAACATTAAACTTTACTCAAATTCACATTGAACCATATTTGCAAGTCATCATTACCTCACATTACAAACAAAGCGAACGCAATCGACGTTCTTCATCCTCCGTTGGAAACAGCCATAAATAACAAGACATACGCGAGCACGAGGAACGGACGCGCTGCGGCGCGTGCGTGACTGCGCCGGTCCTTCACCGTGCTCACCGGGGAAGGGGACGCCGGGGCTCTGTGCCCGCACGCGCTCCAGCCACTTGCCACAGCCGCCCAGCGACTGCTCGTTGATGACATCAAACACCAGGCACAGCATGCTGGGGTGGTCCCACTGCCAAACACAACAGTGCTTGGTGTAACAATTGGCACTGCGGCGAAAGCAGAGGTCACGTAATACTGACGGGGGCAGTTGTGCTGTCAAATAATAGAGTTTACTCTACGTCGTTATTCCTGCTCTACAAAACAAGATGATGCAGCGTGCGGCACGTAAAAAAAGATATTGCGCAAACTGGCTTCAAAATTACAATCTCAATAGTTCGATCAGCAATTGTAATTAATGTTAACCATAGTAAAGGCTTAAGGCAGACTGCACAGCAATAGCGTTAGTCTAAAAGCCACGCTGAATAAAGACAGTGTGAGAAAAAAAAAACTTACATTTTTTTGCACAAGGTCATTAAAAATGTCCTTCCCACCTGAATCATACAGGTATATTTCCTGTAAGTGTACGGAAAAACAGATCAACATTCGCATTCATTGCCAATATTGTGTAAGTCTGAACATTTGTTATCCTGCACTCTTGTAAGTCCAGTCTATCATGAATACATGAACTCTTTGGAAATCATCATTGTTATCAGCCGTGATCGATCAACTGCAGGATGAAGGCCTCCCCAAGTTTCTGCCCATCCCTCACGGACTCACAATGCAACGATCCAATTAGCACCTGCACACGAGCTCATTTCATCGCTCCATCTCTGCCGTTGCTGTACCCTCGGATATGTTCCCTTATTTAGATGCCATGCTGTCCTCAGTCTTAACAGCCTTCATTCGTTCTAGCGATGTGTCAAGCCCGCTTACTTTCCTTAACAGTCAATACGACGGCTCAAATTTCAGCACTCCAACCTGCTTACACTTGCCTGTTTCATAAGTTTTAGCCTAGAGTCATCCTCAGTAATCACCTTTCATATACAGAATATATTCCAATGTGTTCTCCATCTGTTTACTTTCAATAAATATTGCAATTTGCTTAATAAATTATGTTGTATATGTATTTATACATCGATATGAACCTGTGTGTTATGTGTGTGCTCTTGAAGTAATGATATTCTAAAACAATGACAGTGTTGAAAACATTAATATTCCTGAATATATCAACTATTGATTAGGGCATTCAAATACAGTGTTTTTTTTAATAATTTCTCAGTATACAATGTAATATTTACATACACATGGAGGACTAATATGAATGAACACATGCAAGCTTTCAGCATCTTAAATTGTCAGTAAACATATTAACAAAACCAATTATATTATAAGCAGGTTAAAATAGCTGCATAATAAGGATAATTTACTTTTGGCAACAAAATAACAATGCTCAGTTTGATTAATTAATTGCCATTCCAGGGCCAAATATTCGATATAAAAGACAGGAGCCAACACAGCATGGGGACTTCACGGATTCAGCACACCCACCACGCCGCACACGAGGCGTTTAAAATACAGAATGCTGACCAAGCGCTGTCTGTGAATATATGGAGATTTACTTCTATTGGAGCAGGTGTTTGTTTATCACTGCAATCTGGTTTCAGTCAGTTAAATATCTTCTCAGCTGAGTGGTATGCGGAGAAGCGTTTCAGTGAACTAAACGGCTGCTTTGTTACTAAAGGCAAAGGCCGCCGGACTTGCAAAGCGCAAATTTTACCATATGCCTTTTAATTATTTGTATTTAATTACCGCACTGCACTAAAATGATTGTGAGACTTTCGCGAGGATAATTAAAGTTTGGTGAAATATGTAACCGTTGAATATACTGCCGGTGTAAAATCAGGCAAAAAGATTATGAATTGCATAAGAAAAAATATGAAAATACGTACGACGCTATCGGTGGTGTCAGGTACGCCGACAGATTTCACGAGCAGCTCGACTCCCACAGTCTGCAAAGGGAGATAGCCCAGCCGACCGCATTAACCATACAGCACCCACGTGCCCTAGGGGCGACTGCGGTTAGTGGCGAGATCGACAGCATTCAATTAAATTCTCATTAAAAAGGGCTGACCTTTCCCTATGCGGTGCATCCAGGATGATTCGTGTGACAATGAATAGAGTAAGTTCATTTTCCCCCATTATTTCCTCGCGCAGCAGAACACTATGCGAGCCCATGAGCCTGACTCAGGGTAGATAAGCGAATAACACGCACTGCCTGGACCGCATTATGAAGTGCATGCACCACACGGAGCAGGCCTCACATTTCTACTTGAATCGATCACAACGCAGGAATAAATGCTTGCAGCAAGAGGTGGAACTGGGTCCCTCTTTCACACCATCTCCTAGGCGTCCAAACTGTCTTATTTTTTCACCAATTGTTTTCACCGTGCTGTCAAAAGAGTATGGGCTAGGGTTATACCCGCCCGCCCCCCCCCCCCCCCTATTCAGCACCATCGTCGTCCAATATAATTGTGGGGGTGAAGGAGCTGACCTCAGTCTCAAATGTAACGGTCACTGCTTGGCCCTCGGACTCGCCGGGCCGCTTACTCATCATCATGGTCGTGGCATTTCGCATCCCTCAAGGTGAACAGCTGCGCCCCACGTTACGCGACTGACATTTCACATCATGCGCAGTGATTCCACAAAAATACCGAGCGCGAACCACAGCGCGCGACTGAGAGTCGCACCCGATGCTGACTCATCGAGTCATCACGTGATTCGCCAAGTGAATGTGACACACGAGCCAAGACGTGACTTGTCAGTTTACGCAGTGGGCCATGGTATGACTGACGGAATTGAGCTTGAGTCGAATGCGAGTCCCAACGTGACCCGTGTAAGTGAAATGAACGTGTGCCCGCCGTGTGTTTCCACCATGTTGTAGTTCTTGGGGAACAGGGTGGCATCGCTGTGGAAAGCTTGAACCAGGGCGCTTTTCCCGACTGTCGAGTCACCTGTCAGGAGACACAGGAAATCCTGCTAGAGAACATCGCCTTAATTCATCCTCTCGTTTGTACCATTCAATTTCTATTGTCTCTCCATTTTACTATATCACAGGTTGCATCTACATTACCTCATTTGTACTGTCTCGGATGTACTGTGGAATTTTTACTGTCTTCTTCTTGAAATTATTTCTATTGTTTTGTGTCAATTGTACAATCTGAACTGTACTATTTTGGTTCAGAATCAAAACATTTATCTTGGAGGAATCCGATGAGGTATGAAGCTCTTTTTTTCACAGATGTCCAGTCAGGGCGGATCAGAAAGTTACAGCAACAATACCAGGAGTCCAAAGTATAGGAACGGTAAGCAAGTCACTAAAAATGTAAAAAGTGCCTGTCTTCTTGGTAGTCTCTTTTTGTGCAGCCTCACTTATACAGACTTGTTTGTTTGTATTGCCCATTTGACAATCGGCCAGACAAAAGAAAAAGATACATTTATAAAAATAGATTCTCTCAGGCATGACTTGATGCACGTCCGGAAAACGTAAAAATTGACGGATTGATTAATCATTAAATGCCCAAGTCAATAGTGTACGCATTGCACACCCGCAAAATGCCATTCACCCATGGAAAATGCTAGGTTTCCAATAATAAAAAACCCATTTATATGAAGAAGAAAAAAACATTTCTCCTCCTGAGAGTTCAAAATGCATTTATAGGAAAAAGAAAATAAATGTCCTAGTCTTGCATGGCATTTATTTTAAAACAGGTTCATACATCTGAGTAAGTGGGCTCGGTTTCTATTCTTGAATATGGCAAAATGTTCAGGACCTAAATGCCAATGTCGAGGTCTGCTTGCCACGTGAGGGCTTCAGGAGGCAGTTCGTGTATTTTTGCTATTCCTCCATTGAAGGAGTGCAGAATACAGTGGTTTTCTATATGGTCCATAGTTTGGATTACATGGTCACAATCGCCCTTCTGTGGCTTGTCTTCAATTTTCCATTTTTGAAGGAGATGTGTGCATCGGCCTGTCCCCTGACGTAATTGATGTTAAACCAAGTGATTTTGAGGAATGTCAAAACCAGGAAATGTGAGGTTTGGGTCTCAAATGAGGTGTTCATTCTGGATGTCCACGTCGTTCCACTCTGTTTGCCAGTGTTCTACCAGACGGGGGATCGGGACTTGACTTGGCGGTAAAATACATTTTTGAGGTCTTGGTTGATGTGTAGTTTGTTTTTACAAACAAAAAATGTAAACTTCAATGCAGTTTGCATATCTCTCTGGATATTCGGTGGCAGAATGCCTGCCAAAATAAGGAGCCAGGCGTTGGTGTTCGTTAGTGTTCCATTTATGATGCACTTTGCGTTATTTAATTGTACATCTACAGGAATTCGCTGAATAAATATAACGGATGCGTTCCCGGGAAATGCTACTTAACTCAAACTTACTTAAAGCTAGCTCTAATATGCCAAATATATGTTTCTGGAAAAAAATGTGATTAAATATCATGATGTGTACAAAAATGCATATGATTATAAGTTAAATACATTTTAACTAATAATAAATAAAATAATGATACAAAACGGATCAGAGATGGTTAGAGTGCTTACTGATCGAGGCCTCTTGGGGTGAGCAGTGATGGAAAAGCTGGCTCTCTTCTAGATTGCAGAATAAAAAAGAAATTTGTCCAAAGACAGCTGGACAGCATTCTTGTTCGACTGGTACAGCTCCTTGCAGCAGTGAACGCCACTAAATGCCAGTTAGTATTCGTGCTAGGGGTATTATTTCATCGGCCTCTTCCTCAGCTCGTTGTTGCTCCAGCTGCATCGGATCCTCATTGAATAGCTCCACACGACCATGAGATGCAAGAAAGTCCACCAACGTCCGACTCCTCAACATTGTCCAGTCCAGCTTCAGGATTTCCCTCCACGTGGCAGCGGGACTTGCGCTGGTACGCACTATGCGCGTACAGTACGGTATTACATCGCAAAAGTCCGTTTTCACCGTGTGCATCAATTGTGCATTTAAAAAAAACACATGTCAAACATTACACTGGTAAGGAAATGTTCCCTAAATAATCAGCAATATACATGCTAAACAACGCTTACTGTGGCAACTGATAGCAGGGGATTCTTGTCGTAGTTTTATGTACGCATTCGTGGATGGGGCTGGAGCGCAGTACTCTGCCACTGAATACATCAGTGATAAGTGCGACAGTTCATAGCACATCAGCTGAGGCTCCACAAGTTGTTCCTGCAAATTTCTCAAGGGTGATTCTTTATTTTGTCTTTTCACGTATCTGTTTTATGTGGGGCTTGGAAGTCAGGATTCTATAATATAACCCCTAAAAATTGTGGAGTGGGTGCCATAGTGCACTGGACTACTGCATAAGGACATCAAGGGTGGCATCTGCTGCGTGATTGTTACAGTGCAAAGTGCTTGTGGTGGTTGTGGAGTTTCCAGTGACAGAACTATGACTCCAATAACATTAAATCAACTGTTATAGTATTGGCAATGTTCTCTATGTTCGTGCCCAGTGCAGCAAGGACTATGTCATCCTATGAACTTGCAAGATAATGTACATTGCAGGTCACTTATACATGTGTAGTGTTGTACTCACACGGACACTTAACTTTTCTCCCGTGTCATTTATTTACCTTGCATCCAGTGTGGATGCTCCTCACTTAAACTAACACACAAACCCTTGTTCCGAACTCCCCGACTTCCCCCTACTCACCTCCGCACACCTCGTGCGCGGTAACCACTCTGTCTCCCCCGCTCTCTCTCTCTCACTCGAGACTCTGCTATCCTGTCCTGCTTCCCTCACACCTCCGCCCTCGTCCCTGCCCACAGCAGGGGATTAGCCAACACTGCTGGGGAGGACGAGGTGAGGAGGGCGAGGTCCCAGGCGTCTTCTCCCAGACTCTTGTCTCCTTCATCCCTTGAACACCAACCAACCAACTCTCCGTGCTGCTCCGGACACTCCCTTATATATCCCTCCTCATTTGGGGTCCTCCCTTACCCCCCATTAAGCTGGCGCCTCTACGGCGCCTCCAGCACGCGCTCTCTCTATTATCGCCTCTCCGGCGACTACCCTTTGCCCAAACGCGCACATCTGCTCGTGCCCAAATGCATCAATGCTTCACCCCCTAATTGCTGCTGCTTCTCCGGCGTCTAATCCATGTCTCCACGCTTGGACCTGCGCGACCTCAGTTGCACTCTCTCCATCCATGATTCACCCCATAATTGTTGCCACGCCACTCCAGTGTCACCTCACCCTTTTGCTAACCCCGTGCGTTACGCCACTACACATGTGTTAGCTGTGGTGTTAGTACCAAGCCTTGAGGGTGGCCACTGTTTACCAGCGAGGTGTACCCTGAAAGTACGGCTGCTGAGCATTGCAACGAGAAGGTGAAAAGTGGAACGGCTCAGATGATTTGGGCGATCTTCAGCAGCATGATATGATGCCAAACGGTGTCATCAGCAGCAGAGAGGTCAACCATATATGTACCGTTTTTTTTTGTTGACGCTGGGAACCAGCTTCTATGAGGGTGGTGAAGGAAACGATCTATTAGCAGCATCTACGGACAGTTTTTAATCCAGCTTGTTCTGGAGGCAGTTGGGGGTCAATAATGGGGGAATGTCTGGCAAGTATGGCATGTTCCATCAGTTTGGAAGTGGAGGACAAGAGAGAGATTGGCCACAGGAGATTGGTCACTCCCTCTTATCGGGTTTCAGAATGCCGATGACTTTGGCTTGCTTCCATAACTTCGGGATTGTGCCTGTCCTGTGTACGATGGTAAATACATTTGCAAGCCATCGTTGTCATTAGTCCGAGGTTCTTTAGGAACTCGGGACAGAGGACATCATATCCCAGTGGGAAACTGAGAAATGGTGATGGCTTGGGTAGGTCTTCATACAGCAGTGGATAGATTATGGCTGCCGAGGTACATTTAAAATTTTAAATCCATTCTACTTATTTTCCAAATCTCCTTTACTCAGAACACTTATTCGAGTAAAAACGCCGATTTGAAACCCAGTGTGAAAACAAGAAAACTTAAAAAAAACGATAATGGGTTTGTGTCTGCCAGTCTTAATCGAGCCGTGTGTTCACATTGAAGCTTTGCAATTGTACCTTGTTTGACTGTAGGTGACCTATATTTGAATTTAACTTAAAATTGATTTTATTCAATCCTTGTTTCACGTTTAATAATTCTTGTTTTCTGTTTTGCTGTCAAGTTTGATATTGTACTTTTTACATTAGATGAGTTAATGTCCTGTCTCTTTAATAATTGCTGCTGCTGTAATATATAATTGTTGTTTTGAATAGTTGAGCCAGATCTTCCATGAAAACGAGCTTCTGAATCATAATGGGCGTTGACCTAGTTACAAAATTGATATTATTTTTAATCGTTTATAATTGGGGCATGTAAATGGGTAAAAACATTTTTTTTTTAATCCAGCCGAGAATTCCGCTGCATTGACTGCTGGCTTAATAATTGGAAGCCAATTATTATCCATTTGTAGCAGACATACTACCACGTTGTGTTTGTCTGTATGCTGAACTTCTTTCGCACCGTACAAAGCCAGCCTTGTGAAGCAGGTGTGGCTGGTCAACAGTGGTTGTCCTACGCTTTCAATTCGCTCCTGCTATGAAAGTGTGAGATTTCCACCACCTCCTTATCTATGCAGTTATGATCAGGTAAGCACTTTCTTTTACTTAAAGACACAGCGTAGGTGTTGTATCATGTAGGAAAAACACCTCGGCTGTGTCCCTCGATTTTAGAGTTAAGAGGATTTTCTCTGTCAGGTCACCAATGCCTGTGCAAAACAAAAAAACCCTCTCACGTTAAATTAAGTTCTGTACTTAAACGTGGCTTCTTAATTCCAGCTCTGAGAATGACAAATGTTGTCATATGATAATTATTACTCTTTACAGAGCAGGGATGGCAAGATGTAGTTCTTTGATGTCCGCTTCTCTGGGCCATTTTCTGTGACACGAAGAAGAATTGGACACCGTTACGTTCGAGTTCAGAATGGATGGATTCATCTTCTGATACGACTCCTTAAGCCCCTAGGTAACAGTGGAGCTCTGTGCAATTGGCTATTCACAGCACTGGCTGGCGGAAGGGCTTCCACTCAAACCTGGGGTTCGGCAACCAAAATAACAATAAGAACTCGTATTCTTGGTTATTTCGGCAAAGTCACGTAGAAGGGAAATAATAAAACAATAAAATTCTCACGACGTTTAGATTGCAACCCAAGCAATCATCATCAGGTGTGAAAACCACAGCAAGAAAATTGTTTTATTAATTGCTTTATTTTATTATTTCTCTTCTACGTGGTGACTTTACCGAAAGAACCAAGAATATGAATCCCTGCAGTCACGAAAGCTTTAAAACAAAATGCAATATTACATGCTAATAAGCGACGGTCCTTCATGAGCCGCAGGTTGCCGACCCCATGCACTAGACCAGGGGTCACCAAACTACGGCCCGCGGGCCGCATGTCAGTCCATCAGGCCCGCCGACGGTACTTGAATTTGGTTGATAAAACGTATGGAACACGAGACGTTGTGATACAATTTAAATGTTTGGAATACTAGGAGATCTTCACACGTGCGGAGACCTCCTGACTGCTATGTTCCTTAAATTTACTATTTTAAATTTTTGTATCTAGATTTTCTTGTTTATTGTAATGTTTGCTTATTTCGCGCCATCCCAAGTCCTTCCCCGGCTCGTGGTAGCTCCGCCTACGCTCTGACGTTACCATGGTTTCCATGGCAACGTCATGGTAACACGTTACCATGGTTTCCGTGGCAACGTCATGGCAACACGTTACCATGGTTTCCATGGCAACACACACAAACACGCATCTTTCCCGCCCCCAAGATTTTCCAGCTGTCAATACAGGTTCCGACGCTCCAGAAATATTTATGTGGTTGTAGTTGTTATTTGACTTGCATCCCACTGGGATTTTTGCACACAGCGTTGGTGTACGGTGCTATTTCAGGAATATTTTGATGTTTTTTCCTGTATTTTCTGTTTGCACAGTCACATAATCACTTTAAGATGTTTTCTTGTTCATGTTTTTTGTTTGTTGCGGTTGCACCCGATTCAAGAGCCGAATGGCTCACAGGGCTATACCAAATAAATGAACTATGAACTATTATGCGGCCCGCGCTCGTCATTCTTTCAGTTATCCGGCCCACTGTGAAAAAAGTTTGGTGACCCCTGGTGTAGAGGAAGCTCCATAGAGGCCCCTCGGGAGGGCGTATTTTGGCCTACTCTTCCACGATGGCCAGACGTCTACGAATAAGCCGGAGAACCCCGGTGGGGGGGGTAAAAATTGTTTCAAATGACAGCACGATAGGGATACAATTGCTGGATATATAAAACAATGTATAGAGAGGATACTGTGTCAGTCAGCCCCGGGACATATTGTAGATTTCAGTTTCAGTTGATTTATTTTGGTATAGCCCTGTGAGCCATTCAGCTCTTGAATCGGGTGCAACCACAACAAAAAAAAACAAAAACACGAACAAGAAAACATCTTAAAGTGACTATGTGACTGTGCAAACAGAAAATCCATGAAAAAAACAGCAAAATGATGGCCTGATGGCCTTAATCTAAGTTTTCTTGTGGTTGTTGTGATGTGCAGCTGCAATAGATTGGGTTTAGAGTTGCGTCTCTGCGTGAAGTTCAGCGATGCTGATAGCTATTAAGAAGGCCCATTGCCCGAAACGTCGCCACATATGTATTAATATACATATGTTTTAAGAGCACAGCGTTTTTACGACTGTTGTGTTGCGATCGTGCGATTGATTGGTGCCGCAATCGCGGGCCCGACGCTCTCGAACCGCTCCTCGTCTCACCGGCGACCAGGCACTTGGCTCGGAGAACCACCATGTCCGCTCGCCTCCGCCGTCCTCTCTCCTCTTTCCCACGCTCGTAAATCGGCGGCTCGTCAAGAAACGCGATGGAAGATTTAACGCTTCCAAAAAAAACCCGACGCAAACAAATTAACAAATGAACAGCAGCAACGAACGGGAACCACAGGCTCCGCTCTGCTCTACTAGGCCGCACGCCGTCGCGATGGCAACCGCATCGCGATGCCACCTCTAACGATTCCTTTCGCGATTCGATTTATTAAACGTAGTCCTATTGTTTAGAGTTTTAACCGTCTCGTGCTTTGTGCTGCGTCCGCAGTTGTAAGCACCCTTTTGTTATAGTCAATTATTCTTACGGCAACACACCCGTATAATAGGCGGAAGGCTTTAATCTGAGTTTCTCTACGCGCTCGATTCCACGCGTGAATCGTGATCGTGACAATCGTAAGAGAATCAACGCTGTTTTATAAAAAGCATATACCGCATGAGGCGACGTTTCGGGCAATGCCCCTCTTTCAGTGTGATTGACAAATGCGTTGCTGTGTTTGTGCGCCACTGCCTATTGTCGGTGGCGTCACCACATTGATCCCTGTTGTCGTTTAAACTTGTGGAAACGCGTACCCTGTCAATCCAGACGGTTCACCCCGTATGCTTTTACAGGGGAATTGAGTATTCATATCCAAACGGCGTACAGCCGTTTCAATATGGGAAATTGATTTTGTCTATTTGTTTGTGTTTCTCCCTTGTGACGGGACTTTGTAGGATGAACGTTGAGATGTATGAGGGCACGGGGTGACCAATGAAGTCTGAATTCCTCTGTAATAAGATAGGGCACTGGACAAGGCATGGAAACATCGCAAATTTGTACAATTTCTGCCAACCCTTTGATTTTATCTCGAATGTCATCACGCTTTTAGTCAGTTCGTTGAAACTTTTCACGTCCAGACTCCCAGTCAGTTGCAACTGAGACAGCCTGTCTCTCGATATCTCACCTCGTGAGACGTAATCATCTTAAATGTCCTCTGCACTGGGCTGCCCTGTCGTGATGATAGGCAACATGCGCTGATTATTAGTGGGCGCAACGGTGGCAATGATGTTAACTACCTCGCCTGGTATACAGGAGGTCGTAGGTTCGACGCCTGCTGTATATTTCAAGTTTTGCATGTTCTCCATGTGGTCGCGTGGATTTTTTACAGGCCCTCCGGGTTTTCCATCGTTTAGAAGCATGAATTTAGAGTTTTTTGTCTGCCATGCATTTCCACTTAATAAGCCACTGCATTGGGCTATCATTGTAGCCAGATCGCTTCTAAAAAAGAGCTATACAGTATAGCTAATTGGGCTTTACCTAGAAGAAAAGTATATTCCTGGACGATTGTACCTGTCATTTATTCTGTCTGTTATTGAGTTTTTCCCACAGTTGCTACAGTATCACGCATCCATTGGCCATTAATACCTTGAAGTATAGAGGATCGTAGAGCTTGGGCAATAATTGGCTGCGGCTCACTGCGTGGCCCCTGCCTTCCTAATGAGTGTTTTACATGTGTAAGGAAACTCTAGAACCTGGGAAAGAAACCCACGCATGCCAAGGGGGAAACACTCAATAACTGTCAGAATAAATGACAGGTACAATGGCCAAGGACTAGACTATTTTACTACTTTTTTTTTACCAAGTAAGGCCCACTTAGCTATATAACTCTTTTTCAGAAGCGACCTGGCCACAAATGGTAGCCCAATTAAGTGGATTATCACGCGTAAATGTATAGCAAACACTCTGTGCGACGCGCTACACGTTTAAATGATTACTTAAGCCAAAATTTCACAACACTCTATTAATCGTATTGATATTTTTTTTGTAAGTTCTACAATGTGAGATTTTTTTTACCAACTTACATGCAGTACCTGGTACCCAGTAAACATGCAACGTTGCATGCAATGGTATGTGGTTGGCCCAACCAAAGTTTTATCTTAATCGTGCAAGCGGTGTCGCAGTGAAATGAAGAATCCGTTCAGAGCTCTTGCAGAGGGTAGTGCAACCCGTATTATAGGACGGTCAGTGGAAGAAGATATCAGAGGTTACCTCGACGGATTTCAAGTCACCTCTGGTTCACACAGGAAGGTGCTGGACTTTCCCATGCATTTGTTTGAAAAAAAAAAAACCCTCGTGACATTTAAACTAATAGTGTAAATTCTCAGTGCTAAAATTTGGTTTAAGAGAAAAAATCTACATTAATGTGTTATTATGTTTGAGTTGCAGGCATTGGTGACTGGGCTGAGACCACCAACGCACTTCACGTTAACATTGCCAGAGTTGAGGAAAACAGACAAACCGATGGTCCAACACTGATGCACGTGAAACTTAAATCCGAGTAAAACAAATACAACCTCCTCTACCCACGACAAAGATGTCCTGAATAGCCAACATAGACTGTTGGGGCAAGCGCTGTTAGCGAGCAACCATCACACATGACAAATACAACAACAGCCGGCATTCGCCAAGAAGTGACACCACTACCGCCACCACAGTGGGTGTGCCAGGCAGGCTAGGTGCCCTTTGAGGCCAGGTGAAGTGTGGAAGGCTCGCTGGAAGGATGTCACGGGACGCGTCCCAGGTGGCATGCGTTAACCGAGATGACTGACAGATGCCACGACCCGTGAGCTCCTCCCTGTACCACACTCACACAGAGAAACGAGAACAGCTTTCTGGCCACGGAAACCCACTAATTGGCCTTGATGGCACGCTAAAAATGTACAGTCGCTATTTTCAACGTGCCCCCGGTGGTCACACGCTGGCAATCGCAGACACGAAAGCGAGCCAGTCCATTTTCGCAAGTGGCTTCTCAATATACACGGGGCCCTAATTAGACGCGACACCGTGTCTCGGTGCCGCTCAGAGCCGCTCAGATATGAAGCCCTCGGGTGTGTGTGTAGAGGGGCTAATGGGCACGCGGGGGTATTTGGACGTTGCCACTGAGGACCCGTAAATTCAATTGGGAACCGCAAAAGATATATATTTTAACGGTGATATAATTTATGATTGCCGAGCCGGAAACATTAGCGGACGCCACGCAAGGGTTAGGAAGAGAATACGCCGTGCATTAAATGAACTAGCGCGAGTCGATCCAACATTTCCCATGAGCCTCTCTGTGTCCGCTCTCCCATGACACTCAGCTCGTCCCATACATCCCTTCTCACTTTGTCATATGTGCCAAATTACCCGCAAATGATTGTATTGCTAAATGAGAAAAATAAACCACACACCAACAGCATTGGCCCCCTACAAGCAGACAAAATGCCCGTTTGCAGGCCCGGTGCCGTGTACACCTTGTGGGACATGGGGACAGCTGCCACTGGGGCGGGTCCCTTAGTTTGACTGCCGTCGGGCAATGGAATGGCTGAGCCGAGATGTCAGGTGGTGTCAGGTGCTGTGAGGTGCTCGTTGCATTTACGTGGCCTATAAATTCAAAGAATAATACATCCTTATTCTCTATTCCTATGATTCCTGCCATTAGCCTTCGGATATGTTCTGGGTCGCTGTGTCGAATGGACTAGATGGCACACGACTATAGTTTCTGGATGTGGTGTTCCGGGTGGGAAAATATTTTCCCGGGCCGCCGACCTAGATATATCTCCCTGAAATAAAATCATGACTCCCGAGTATCTCACAGACGCGTGCACCACATCTCCCTGGAGGATGACACGAAGACTAAGGCATGTAGCCTACACAGGCTGTTTGGGCAAGTGCCGTTCGTGAGCAACCGTGAAGGCAGGCACGGCGCACACACGAGGGGGTGGTTGTTGTCAGCAACCGTGTCCCAGTAGTGATGCTGACACAACTGCGGAGGCCCAAGTCCAAGCTCATCACCGGTGATGTTATCCGCAGCCGGGAATCAAGCACGAGGTACCGCAGTGCGCTGATAACTACACTACCGCTCCCCACGAGGATGATGGAGACAAAATCCCACCGCGTAGCCTGAACAGAATTTGTGGACAAGTGCTGTTAGCGAGCACCTATGAAAGCCGGCACAGTACATGAGGAAGTGGGTTACCAGCACCACGCCCGACCACCTTCGTCTGCCCAGTGGTGATGTTTACACACCGCGCCAGAAACTCATATTGAGGCTGAGCTTACCTAGGGGAGGCCCAGGACCAATTCAGATATTCATTACCAATGTTGGCCGTGAGTGGGAATCAAACTCGGTTCGCAGGATTCATATCGCAGTGCGCTCACCGCTACACCACCGCTCCCCACACAGGGGTGGACAGACACATACACACACAGGGACTCCTTCACAACACACACAGCGGTTGCTCTTTCCTTGAATTTAATTGCACTTGGCTTCTGCAGAGTGTGGCTCTAAATGCTCAGCCACGAGTAAAAACGCATTCAACGAACTGCCATTTGACTGTAAAACGAAACGTCATCCATCACTTTTGTAAACAATTATTTCTCAGAGTTGTTATTTTTTCGTGGAGGGATGTGGCACATTTTTTGTTCCTCACTGCCAAAGTCTCCCACAATAAAAAAAAATGATACATCTTCTCTCGACGTCTTCTTCGCTGGCAAATTCCACGCGTCGGCTTAAAGCTCGGCTAAAACTTTGTGAACCCATGGGTGAACATGAACGTACAGACGAACATTAACGTACGGACGAACATGAACGTACGGGCGAACATGAACTAGGGCAAGCATGAACGTATGGGTGAAAATGAACGGACGGGTGAACATGAACGTACAGACGAACATGAACGTGCAGGCGAACATGAACGTACGGGCGAGCATGAACGTACGGGCGAATATGAACGTACGGGCGAACACAAACTTACGAAGCAAACGGCTACACATGCATTGAATTGATTTTGCACAGGTGGCTTCAGCAGCTTTCGCCCTCATGACATCTTGATCTCACTATTATTATAAAACTATCTTGATGATAAAAAAAACACACATCACTATACAATCTAATCTGTGGTCCTACTTTTTTGTATACTTTTTTTTGCTCCCCCGGCAGCTCAACTGCGGCACCGCCAGCTTTGACGTCACGGTTCCGTGTCGCCCCTGCACCGGGCGCCGTCGCAACTTCTGCGGGCGTCGTCGGCTCCTCCGATCGTTGGCCACGCACGCTCCTCTTTCTCTCTCTCTCCTGCTCCCACTCTCGCTCGCTTCGCGGTCACGCCGGGCGTATATCGGGTCCACATTCCCTCCCCCCCCGCGGCGGCGTAGCCGTCGAAGTTCTCCAACTCCTCCTCCTCGGACGTCCCCTCCCGAGCGGGTTGCGTCACGGCGAGGACGCGTCTCTTCCATCCTCCGTGCGGCGCTGGTAGTAGGCGTGGAAGAGCCTCTCTTCTGAGCAGCACCTCATGGCCTTGTAGGTGTGCAGTAGCAGCAGCGGGAAGCGCGACGTGAAGTAGCGGCAGAAGTCGTCCGGCACGGAGCCCAGCGTCTCCTGCACGTCCACCGGCAGCTCCCGGTAGTGGTGCTTCTGCCGATGGCGAGGCGTGCGGCAACGAGGAGCAAGAAGGATTAGGAGAAGGAGGAGGGCGAGGAGAAAGAGGGAAGGAGCAAGCACACGGGAGTGTGGGTCACACGATGTGTCCCCCACCTTAAACCTCCTTTCGTTCCTCCCCTTAAATCCTCATCTCTTCTCAAATGCCCATTCCCTTCCTCTTCTTTCCCCTCGTCCTCTCCACTTCATCCCGTCCATCCCCTACAGCCCTGGCGTCACCCCTCCCACCGCCCCCCAAGTGTCCTCTGTCGCAGTCACTCATTCCTCGGCACCGCCCTTTCCACCAAAATCACTCGTATTTTTATTCCCGCTTTCAAACTACGTGAAGCACCCTGAGCTGAGGCACTCCGTAAATATGAAACAAGATAAGGAGAAGGTTGCGTGCGACACTGGGGGCAGCGAACCGTGACATCTCTTAATGGGGGCTGTGTCGCTTGAATGACGAGTGCTTCCGGCGGTGTCTACTTAGTGGGAGGCCACGGCTTCTCTGCCCCCCGTAGTCAGGGACTTGCTTCCCCCAGGCCGTCCGCAAATACTGTGCAGGCAGCGGTGATGACGCGTCACAAGTCGAGTTTGCTACTGACATTATGATGATTATAACCATGATTGTTATTCTAAGTTAACGATCGTTTTGAAGAGCGAGATTGCATCGGCAAAGCAATGACGCCCCTCTTGTTTGTCGGTGCGTGCTGTCGCATCGATTCGCTGTGATCCGCGGGGATGAAATCCAACCTTGTTTCTCATGGCCCGGAGGAGATCGCGCACCGACGTGCCCTTGTACGTCCTGAACTTTCTCAAATCTGCAGGACACATTTAAATAAAATATGTCACGAGGGCAGCCGTCTGCATCGGCAAGCAAAGCATCTGATCCCGCGTGGAATAGCTTGGCGCGTGCACGTGCGTGCGCGTGTGTGCGCGTGTCTCAGCCTCAAATGAGTACCTGTGTGCGATGTGTAAACATCGCAACTAGGGAGACAAGGTGCACACATTCTAGCGGTTAGCACCGTGGTAATGCCACCACTGCTTGGCAGCGAGTGGAGGTTGATGTGTCGTTCACATATTTTATTCACAAGCTCGATGTAATCTCCGGCGTCAAAACGTCGCACGAGATTGTCAAAATATTGCTTTTCTTCTCAACTCAAGCCGTTTTGCCTAAGAACCCAACATCAACCGTGCACTGCTGTCAGGGTGACAACTCGATTTATTTGGCTGTGTCGGGTGGTGGAGTGGTGCATAGCTGCAAGTGACATCGTGCCCACTTACACACGGTGGAACCCAACAAAAATAAAACCCACTGTGAGCCGCGAATGGAGGTTCCTGTTGTTGCGAGTGAGCGCGAAGGAGCGGTGGCATAGTGGTTCGGGTACCCCAGCAAACACGGAACGTTGGGCCAACGTCGGTCTAACGGTTCCAACCACATTCCAACGTTGGCCTGACGTTGGCATGTTTATCAGGACTGCGGTCTAAACCCAGCAACCTAAGTTCGATTCCCGCCCGTGGCTACTAGCGACACTTGGTGTCTGATCACGTCCTGGGCCACCACCACCCCCCCCCCACCGCCCCTCTCTAAGTAGACGACCCGTCGCTCTTGTCTCTCCGCTCGATCTGATCTCGACTTCGCCTATCGGTGTCACGAGATTGAAGGAATCCGTCCGACACGATCCACTTCCCGCCCGTCGCTGCTCCGGCTCTCCCCGCGCAGGCACGGCGCACACCGCCTCACCGCGCCACTCGCGCTCACTCCAGTACCTCCCTCTCCAAGTTTTGCAAACAGTTTGCCTGCATATCAAATGAAGCAGCGGGGTGGGGGGGGGGCTGAGACTGCAACAGGGGGGATGGGGGGATGGGGTGCGGGGGGGGCCCAGCCCCCCTCTCCCCCCCTCCCTCCCGCCGGACCGGTGTGGGAGCCGGAGAGAGAAGGGCGCATGAGCGAGAACGTGTTTCTGCGTGCGTGTGTGTTTTTCCACACATCCGTGTAACAGCTTCCACTCCCCCCTCCCTCCCAGCTGAGGCAGCTTTGTGATTTCTCTGGAGGAGAGAGGAGGAGGAGGGAGGAGGAGGGAGGAGGCAGGAGGAGAGGGCTGGGAGAACGCGGTGTGTTGATTAGTGGCATGGGCCAAAGTGCAAGGATTCAGTAGTGGGGGGGGGGTTGTCCAATTTCTTCCCCTCCCCCACTCTTCGTAGTCTGGTGCCTGGGCCCCCCTCCCACCCCATTTGGCTCCGGTGCAGTTCCATTGCCTGCACACTCGATAGCTACCCCGCTGACAAGAGACCTATAGGCTCACATAGGAACCAGTGGCCTGGTGTGGTTTGGCATGGGCCCTTGTGTATGTGTGCATTGTGTGGTTACCGGGTGCGGTGGTGCAGCGGTTAGCACGCTGCGCTACGAACCCAACGACCCACGTTCGATTCCCGCTCATGGCCAACACCGGTGACGATTATCATAACCGTTCCTGGGCATCCCCTAGGTCGACCAGACCTCAAACGAGTGAATCGTGCGGTGTGTAAGTGTCGCCGCTCGGGAGAAAAAGGCCGCCCGGCGTGGTGCTGGCCACACACTCCCTCGTGTGCCGTTCCAGCCTTCATAAGTGCTCGCCAACAGCACTTTCCCCAACAGTCTGTTAAGGCTACACGGGGGATCTTTGTCTTTGTGTGTGTGTGTGTGCGTGAGACCGGTCTGCAGCGGCACAGTGATGCGAAGCCTCCAGTCGTCGCGCACCACTCGCGCCCCCCCGTCCTCCAACCGCACCACCACCGCTCCCTCCACCGCCTCCTTCTCTATCCTATCGCTCACGTCCTGGGACACACACACACGCACAAAGACAAAGATTCCCTGTTTAGTCTGTACAGACTGTTGGGGCAAGTGCTGCTAGCGAGCACCTATGAAGGCGGACACATCGCACCAGATTTGAGGCCGAGTCGACCTAGGGGAGAGGCCCAGGACCGGGACCGGTTCAGATAATCGTCACCGGTGAGTGGGAATCAAACTCCAGTTGCCGGGTTCGTAGCGCAGCGCGCTAACCGCTGCACTACCGCTCCCCACACATGCATACACGCGCTCACTGACACACATGCTCACGAGGCCATGCGCGGCATGGGGGATTGGGGCCCCGCACAAGCGGAGTGAGCTGCGAGGAGGGGGTCGAGGTGAGGGTGGGGGATTGAGAGGGAGCACATGAACTAAATTATTCAGCGGGGATAGCATCGCTGAGTTGCAGGTCTCTCTGTCTGGAGGAACCTGTGCTGCAATGTTTGGCCAATCTCCATTAATAACTGTTAGGTTTAGGGGAGAAACGCATCACATAGAGAGAAGAAAAACAAACAAACAAACCGCCCATTACACATTCAAGGGGGTCAAAGCTATGCACAGATAGATTCAATAATCCGTTGTCGCCTTGTGGGCAATTCGCGGCCTTGTTGTGGACAGAACGGGGCGACGATGCCTACACCGGTGGGGTTAACGAAAGGCAGTGGGGGTGGTGGGGGGGGGGGCGGTGAGGGAGCGAGAAGATTTGGCGGCGCCGGCACGGAAGACAGCGCGCCGATTTAACGTGTGGCTCGCGCAAGAGCGGCTCACCTTCAACGCCGGCCAGAGCTAGGGGGATGGGGCACCCGTAACCCGATACAAACCACAAGCTCCCTACCGGCGCCCGCCCGCCCGTCCGCTAGCGCCGCGTCGCCCCGGTGCCGGGCGAGGACACGGCGCCAAGGGCACGGCAAATGTCAAAACGACGGGGCCAGCGTGCGTTTCACTTGCCAATTGGATTAAAACAGAAACACATGGCGGAGGGGGGCATTTTCTGTGGAGGTGGCGTTCGTGAAATGCTACTGGGTGATGAATGATTTTAATAACGGGGGGATCCAACGAGCGAGATTGGGATGGAGGTGGTGGGGGTGGGGGCGGTCGAGGGGGGCGGTTGAGGGGGGCGGCGATGCTATCGGCCACTCGAATCACCCCAGGGACGTGCCGTTAACGAGCCTCGGGGACTGAGCGTAAAAGTCATGTGACCGCGGGAGCGATTAACGAACATGTGCGTGCACGCGCGAAAGAGCGTGGCAGCCCAACGACCGTTGGGAATTAAAACTCAACGCAGTCGTCAATAGCACGGCCATACAATTAAATGCGCAACTGGTGACATACCATGTCACTCTGTGGAGAAAAAGAAAAAAGAGAGATATCTTTCTCTCTCTCTCTGCTAGAAGGGCCATCGCTGAAAAAGGGCCATCGCCAGAAACGTCGCCATATTTTACATATAAATATACCTTTTTTTTAGTTCAAGGCAGCCCTATTGACGGACGCGTTGAGGTTTGGTTCTCAATCGCTGTTCGGCTGCCGCGCCCCCTCGCGTCTCTGTGGCCGGCGGGCCTCTGCACCGCCTGCCAACGCGGCGTCAACGCTTCGTGGGGAGCAGCGCGATCGGTCAACCCCCCCGCCGGGCCCGTCAGGTTCAGGCACGTGACTTCACCGCGAATCACTCGCGGTGCAACCGAGACGGGGCCGGCGGCAGCCCCTTAACCTGCGCCAACGTCCCAGCGGGAGGCCGCTGGGATCTTTCGCCGGTTGCCTTTGACCTTGAACGTTGTCGCTCGGGAGGGGTGGGGGGGGGGAACAACTCTCAAAGAGCGTGCTCGATAGAACTGGCGGCAAGGTTGCCGAGTGGGACACGCCGTGGGCATGAGCCAATGGGAAAGGTGGGGGAGCAGGGGGAGGACGGGGTGGGGGGCGGGGGGGGGGGTCGTCTAGTTGGGTTGGGTCTGGGGGGGAAGGAGGCAGCACCTGGAAGAACTGCAGCTGCTTCTCGAGGCTCCAGAAGAACGGGTGGGCGAGGACGGTGGCCGCTGACGGTCGCTTGCGCGGCTCCCGGGAGATCATTGCCTCGATGAGGTCCCGCGCCACCACGGTGTCTGTGGCTCCGCACGCACGCAAGCACACGCATGCACACACGCGCGAGCACATACACACATGCATATACACACATACATACATACACACACGTACACACACCAGTGTTAATTTAGTAAGCATTGTTTAGTCACAGTCTTAGCCTAGTCGACGACACTCGCACACACATCAACCCACCCACCCACTCACTAGCTCAGGCACCCAAACAACATCATCTTTAACAGACTTTGGGAATGAGGAGAGGCCCCACGGTCGGTTCAAATATTCTCCACTCTTATTGGTCGCGAGTGGGGTCACTGGGTTAGTGGTGCGTGCGCTCAACACTGCACCAGTCGAGTCGTCAGTGTGTGGATTTCACATCGTCATTCTCTTAGTCCCATCACACAGTCTCCGTTATTAAACGTTAGTGTGAGGGGCACGCTGTAGTTTCCTCCCCGATATTACCTGCTCAGTCAATCAGCGAACTCAGTAAATCCTCCGACAAACACGCATACAGCCAATTACCACGTTGTTTGGGTATTCCTCAGCGCGCTGCGGTCCCTAATAACGTCACTAAATCATCTCAGCCTGCCTCGTCACTCCAACTCCTTCATTAGCCGGGCGGTGCTCGCTACGCAAGTGAACATGGCCCGTGATCCAGCACTGTGGAGGCAGCAGCGAGGGTTGGTGGATGACTCCCCCCTCCCGTGGGCATCGAGAAGGAGCCCGCGTCCTGACCCGCCAGGGGAAGGCGGTATGGCGAAAATGTGGACTAATATCGATTGTCCCTTCTGTGTGGGACTAATATCGATTGTCCCTTCTGTGTGAGAGGGACTAATATCGATTGTCCCTTCTGTGTGGGACTAATATCGATTGTCCCATCTGTGTGGGAGGGACTAATATCGATTGTCCCTTCTGTGTGGGACTAATATCGATTGTCCCTTCTGTGTGAGAGGGACTAATATCGATTGTCCCTTCTGTGTGGGACTAATATCGATTGCCCCTTCTGTGTGGGAGGGACAAATATCGATTGTCCCTTCTGTGTGGGACTAATAGCGATTGTCCCTTCGGTGTGGGAGGGACTAATATCGATTTTCCCTTCTGTGTGGGAGGGACTAATATCGATTGTCCCTTCTGTGTGGGAGGGACTAATTTCGATTGTCCCTTCTGTGTGGGAGGGACTAATATCGATTGTCCCTTCTGTGTGGGAGGGACTAATATTGATTGTCCCTTCTGTGTGAGAGACTAATATCGATTGTCCCTTCTGTGTAGGGGGGACTAATATCGATTGTCCCTTCTGTGTGAGAGGGACTAATATCGATTGTCCCCTCTGTGTGGGAGGGACTAATATCGATTGTCCCTTCTATGTGGGAGGGACTAATATTGATTGTCCCCTCTGTGTGGGAGGGACTAATATCGATTGTCCCTTCTATGTGGGAGGGACTAATATCGATTGTCCCTTCTGTGTGCGAGGGACTAATATCGATTGTCCCTTCTATGTGGGAGGGACTAATATCGATTGTCCCATCTGTGTGAGAGGGACTAATATCGATTGTCCCTTCTGTGTGGGAGGGGCTAATATCGATTGTCCCTTCTGTGTGGGAGGGGCTAATATCGATTGTCCCTTCTGTGTGGGAGAGACTAATATCGATTGGCCCTTCTGTGTGGGAGGGGCTAATATCGATTGTCCCTTCTGTGGGGGAGGGGCTAATATCGATTGTCCCTTCTGTGTGGGAGGGACTAATATCGATTGTCCCTTCTGTGTGGGAGGGGCTAATATCGATTGTTCCTTCTGTGTGGGAGGGGCTAATATCGATTGTCCCTTCTGTGTGGGAGGGAGTGTCGCCCCTCTCATGCGCTCATCAGTTGCCTCCGGGTGCTCCGTTTTTTACCCACCAAATGCATGATCGCTCATTGGCTGAAAACACCTTCGTATATAGAGGACCGCAGAGCTTGGGCAGTTGCTTGCAGCGGCACACCGCACTGGCTGCTGCTGCCTTCCCGCTTTGTCTGGGATTCCTCGCCCCCTCTCCGAGCCGTCCTCCCTCCACCCCCTTCGAGAGCGAGCGGTGCGTTACGAGTTTATCATTACTGTCTCGTCGGGAACACTTTGTTGTCGAATGCTTTTGCCATGGAATCCTGTTACAAAAGTAACACCGCACCACGCGCACGCCGGGGGGGGGGGGGGGGAGGGATGTTGGCACATCGCTCATCTGTACGTACGTTTGTTGAACTTCTTTCGCACCGTACGTAGTCAGTCAACCGTGCTAATCGGAGGTGCTCGGCGGCGACGCGCGATTAATCGATGCGACGAGGGCGGGGAGGGAGGGTGGGGGCGGGGGCGGGTGGGCGGAGGGCGGCGGCCCTCGTGGCAAACGATGACGACGAAAGATGGAAGCGCCACCTCCACGCGTCGCGGGGCCGCGGCATCTGGGGACGGCGCCTTTTGAACGACGCTCTGGATTCTGAGCGCCCTGCGTCGAGTGGCGGCGGTTCTCGCGGGAACTGTTTCCCTCCCCTCCCCCGCCCCCCGCCCACCACCACCACCCCCCCCCCCCCACTCCCGCTCCGGCTTCCCCCACCTCCTCCTGCGGCATTTTGCGCCCTGTCGCCGCACGCGGAGAGGGGAAGGCAATTTATTCGTCCCCAATTTCTGATCGCAGATTTAACGCACTCCTCCGACACTCATTTATAGCCAACAATAAGCTGAAAATTGGATGCCCTACTTTTGCGGAAAATCCTCGCAAAAAATGACAATTTTTTCGAGATGCAATTTGCCGAATGGACGATTGTCCCGAACGGGCCACTAGAATACAGAGCAGACAGAGGGGCCCCTGCGGCCCCACCACCCCGCAACCGTGTGCTACCGCCGCTGAAGCCGGTGCCCCGAGTGAGCACCGCCGACGTGCAAATTCACGCGCGGCGGTGGCGATCGTATCGCTCAGTCGCTCGCTACCAATTGCTATTGAGCCAAGTTACGGGGCGCGTCCGAGAGAGGAGGAAGTCCGCCGGGGGAGATGGAGCGATGAAATCGGCTCGTACGTGTCTGAGGGTGGACACGCAAATGCCCAGAGGCACCACCGCTCACGATGGATACCAACAGAACCCCACCAACCAACATTCACTCGCTCCGTGTTCGAGGTAGACGCCCACAGGGTGGACACGCACGCATACACAGGGTCCACCCCTCGCCCACGGGTGGACACCAACAGGCCACGCCGCTCACCCGCTCGACGTTGCTGAAGTACGCGCGGAGAGGCACTTGCCGCCCGCTCGCTCGCCCCGCGTTATGCGTGGACACACTCGCAGAGGTCTACGTGGGTCACCGTTCGACTCGACCGGCACTGCGCACGGCAGCGGCAATCAGCGCCGCCTACTGCCAGGTTCATGCCCCGTTTGCGGGCCTGGCGCTGAGCCACTTTGCGTCGGGCAGGGGCAGTCGTCACTAGGCGTGCTCCTTCCAAATGTTTGAGATGAGATCAAACCTGTTCATCCGTGGTGGCACGCCACCGCTGGACGCGGAGGAGAGCCGAGGAATGGGAATAGCAAAAGGAACGGGAGAGGGAAGGGAGAAGAGAGGGGATGCCGGGTCAGAAGTTCCCAAGACGGACAAAGAGAGCATGGCTCAAAGGTGAGCAGCGTGAAGAAAGGAGCGCTGGGCAGGAAGGGGACGAGGGGGAAAAGGAACAATCGGGCCAAGATATCGGGTGGTGGAGAGGGCAATAAGAAGGGAAGGAAGAGAGGGGGAAGAGTGAAGGCAGGAGGCAGTGTCTGCTTTCACAGAGGGTGTGGCGGCGGGGGGGGAGTTCAGATCGGGGTGCGCATTCAACGGGCCGAGTGCTTCTCCGTTCAAGGAGCTGTCAGAGCCCAGAGCGCAGCGGGAGCTCGTGCCCACCTCGCGGCAGCGCCCCGTTGAGCCCCCCCGGTCCGGCTCGGGAGACGTAAAAGCACCCTGAGATGCCCTGCCATGCAGAGCAGGGCGTCGGCTCCATCGTCCCGCTCACCGTGCGTGTCGCTGCCCAGCTGCGCGGTGCTGTGCGCGCCCTGCAGGATGTTGGACTGGCGGCGCAGGGCGTCGCCGAAGGGGTGGCCCCCGCCCGTCACCACGTAGTGGACCACGCAGCCCGCCGAGAAGATGTCCACCGCACTCGTCTGCGGGTGGGGAGAGGGGGAGAGGTGGCGTTGGCACGGCCCGCCCGAACGCGGTGTGGGAGTGAGGTCCAGGGTGAGGAGTGGTGTGGGGGGGGGGGTCAGGAGCAGAGTGTAGGTTTATGCTTCAGATTGTGGGGTGTAGAGTGGAGAGTGTGTCAGGTGGTACCATCACCACTGCCGCCACCTCTATGGCTAATCACCGCAATCGGTACCACCGGCGCCACCCACACCACCCACCGGGTTCTCGGTGCTATCCTCGCGCAGCATCTCGGGCGCGATCCACCCCTCCGTGCCGGCGGTGCCCGAGCGCCGGCTGAAGCTCTGCCGCCCGGCGCTGAGCTTCTTGCAGAGGCCGAAGTCGGAGATGAGCGCCCGCACGCGGCCCAGCGCGCTCGGCATCGAGATGAGGATGTTGTGCGGCTTCAGGTCGCGGTGGACTGCCCTCCGGCGGGATCGCGGGCACGGCGGGTTGGGGGGTTAGCGGGCGAACGCGACGAACGGATCGGACCGGACGGAGACAGCGGGCCTCCCGGGTAGAGTTTTAATCCGTTTTGTTTCGCGTGCAAAAAGATTGAACCGCGTGTTTTTGTTTTTTGTGTTTGACCAAACTGGGCCCGGAGAGTGACCAGCGTAGAGGGAAGTTAGAAAGAAGGGTGCACGCAGAAGGAGACCTGATGGTGCGGCAGGCAGTGATGGGAAGGAAACTGGCACTGTTTGGACACACGTGTGTAAAGATGGACAAGAACAGGAACATGAAAAGTGTTTTGTTTGGAATTGTTCGACCATACTTCATCACCACGCTGCTTCACCGGGGTCATATTTGTTAATTTATTAATCAGTCTTATATACCCATAACAGCCTCACCGAGTCTCACGACTTCTTTGCAGGAGGTCCTGCCAAGTTTTCACAGTAAGGGGGCGATGTTGCTGATGCTGCTTTTTTTGCTGCAGGAAACTGAATGCAATTAATAAATTGATTTATTTTGATTTAAAGCTTTCGTGACTGCAGGGATTCATATTCTTGGTTCTTTCGGTAAAGTCACGTAGAAGGGAAACAATAAAATAATAAAAATATATATTTTTATTATTTTATTGTTTCCCTTATAAGAATAAAAGTTGATTTATGTTCATACGCTGTTTGCAATTGCTTCTGCAATGCAGTCAGTTTTGCTCTGACTTCTATTTCATTGCCTACATCGTCGCCCATTATGCGTACGTTTTTCCGTTCAAGGACAAAGTGTTGTTAACGAGCGTGTTTTTGTTGTTGTTATTATTGCACTGTAACATTTTTTTTTGATCCTGGGTAGTAAGTGTTATTTCCTAATTGCTTATGCCTCAAAAGTACAGAAAATGGATATTATTCCCCACAAACTTTGCTTTTGTCATCAGGACAATGATATTTAGAAGTTCACCTATTTTCCAGAACATTCCAGATAGATTCAGTTCTGAGAAAACTTGGAGTAGCCTGTAGAACATGCTAGAACTTTCCAGTAATATAAATAGTAGTATAAATACAGGGGAATTAAGCCCACCAGTGCAGTAATAGGTTTTTACCCTTTTAGCTGGCACAAAAAACTGACACCTCTGTGCCAGCTAAAAGGGTAAAAACCTATTACTATATCTTGTTACTGGCATAGGAGGTCTCATAATGTAAAGGCCCACCAGTGCAGTTTAGTTCCAGCTGCCTAAGTGGATACATGTCTGCATTTTTCTGAGATGGCATCAAAAAGGCTGCAAGCATCTGGCAGACGCATTTTTCTGTCTCCGGCCAATTTATCAAGACAAGAGTGAAAAAGTACCCTGTGGAAGCATCTGCTAAGATGTGCTTATTTGTGCTTCTGCAGCGCTGCCAACGCAGCAGCAGGACCAAATAACTTTGATTTCCAAATTTTGGGGTTGGGGTTTTTTTTTAGCTCCGATTTTGATTTGCTTAGTCGCTGCACTTTTCTTCGTATCGTTGTGCTCTTTTTCATTTCGGTTCTTAGCGCAGCGCGCTAACCGCCACCCGCAACACACGCGCGCACGCCCACACGGTTCGTGAACGCGGTTCTCTTTGCCTTTTCAAAAGCCACACGATGGAAGGGGAGGAAGGGGTGGGCGAGCGCCGGGAGCAGGGGGGTGCGGCCGCTCACCGATGTTCAGCGAGTGCAGGTGAGCGAGTCCGCACATCGTCTGGTACAGCAGCGTCAGCGGCTCCAGCCCCCGCCGATCAAAACGCTCCCCCTCCACGTACTATGGGGGGCAGAAACAAAGGAGCGGCGCGATGGAACGGTGAGCAGCACGGGATCCGGAACGAGCGAGGGACTCCGGGATAACATTTACGAGGGCAGTGATGCGCTGTCACTCGTCACTAGGAGCGGCGATGGCCGACGGCGGAGGCTGGCGACGGAGTGGCAGCCGAAGGAGGGAAGGCATCCCCGAGGGGGAGGTGGGGGAGGTCGATGGAAATGTCGCGGAAGCGGGCAGTTGCACGCACGCACACTGACACACTCACACAATCAAGCACAGTAAAAAGACAAAGATCCCCCGTATAGCCTTAACAGAGCGTTGGGGCAAGTGCTGTTAGCGAGCACCTATGAGGGGGTGGGTGGCCAGCACCGAGGTGAGGCCCAATACCTGTTCAGATAATCGTCACTGGCTGTTGGCCGTGAGCGGGAATCGAACCAGGGTCGCCGGGTTCATAGCGCAGCGCGCTAATCGTGACACTACTGCTGCCCACACACACGCACACGCATGCGTACACACTCTTTGTAATCACGTGCACCTAGCGGCGTGCTGGCGCACAGCTCGATGGCGACGTAGCGGAACTGGCGGGTCGGACACGCGCACTCGCACGCACAACTACGCACGAACACACACATGCACACACACACGCACGCGCACTCTCCCACACACACACACACGCGCGCACCTGGTGAAGCGTGCTGGCGCACAGCTCGATGGCGATGTAGTGGAACTGGCGGTCGCGCTCGGTGCAGAAGTAGCGCACGACGTGAGCGTGCGCGTCCGACTCGCGCAGCAACTGCACCTCGCGCTCCGCGAACGCCACGCAGTCCGAGAGCACGCGCTTCACCGCCACGGCGCGCCCGTCAAAGTGACCCCTGCGCTCGCAAAGACAAAGGATCCCCCCCCCCCCCCATGCCCCCGTATAGCCTCAATAGACTGTTGGGGCAAGCGCTGTTCGCGAGGATGCGCCTATGAAGGCCGGCAAGACACATGGAAGGGGTGGGTGGCCAGGCACCACGCCCTGGCCGCCTTTGTCTCCCTAGTGACGATGTTTGCAGACCCCACTAGGTACTCATTTGAGGCTGAGAAGACCTAGGGGAGGCCCATGATTGGTTCAAATAATCGTCACTGGTGTTGGCCGTGAGCGGGAATCGAACCCGGTTCGCCGGGTTCGTAGCACGGTGCGCTAACCACTACATTACCGCTCCCCCAGGTATATAAAGACAAAGATCCCCTGTATAGCCTGAACAGACTGTAGGGGCAAGTGCTGTTAGTGAGCAGCTATGAAGGCCGGTGCGGCACACAGAGGGGGAGGGTGGCCAGCACCACGCCTGACCGCTTTTGTCTCCCCAGTGGTGATGTTTACACACTGTACCAGGTACCCATTTGAGGTTGAGTAGACCTAGGGGAGGGCCCATGACCGGTTTAAATAATCATCACTGGTATTGACCGTGAGCGAGAATCGAACCCGGGTCACTGGGTTCGTAGCACGGCGTGCTAACCCCTACCCTACTGCTCCCCTAGGTATACAGACACACAAACAGAGAGATACCCAGTGCCCCTCCCTGTACATCCGTGAAAAAGGGCTTCAACGCTCATTTCTCCAGGATGAAGAAAAAGAAATAGGAAAAAAATCCCGTCGTGATTCCGACTCAGTCGGGGACGAAGGTCGACAGCGCGGAGGACCGCTCCCCCCCACCCCCCCCCCCCCAAAGTCACACCGTGGCCACGCACCGGTACACGAAGGTGCCCTCGGCCCCGCGGCCCAGCACGTCCCGGGAGTCGAAGGAGATCTTCCCCACCGCGACGATGCCCCCGTCGCAGTCTGGACACGGGGCGGGAGAGGGGGAGGACGTGGGGGAAAACGCGCAGTGGAACACGTGAACACGTCGGAACGTCTGGGACACAGATTGCCTTCCTTTGGCGCGTGTAGGGGGGCGGGGGGGTGGCGCACATAGCCTAGCACAAGCGTCGTGGTGATGTCACCGCCACTTAGTGGCGAATGGCGGTTGTTGTTTTCGTTGGTACGGTCGTCAGCGCACTCTGTTGTGAACCTGGCGAACTGACGTTTAATCGTCGGCCACGGCTAACATCAGTGGCGATCGATGTCCGCACACTGCTCCTGGTCAAACAACCGCCCCCGTGTCACTGACCACGGCCCGGAGGAGGCCTTTGAGCAGCAGCGGTTTGGCAAAGCACGAACACACTAACACTACAGTACTGACTGCCGCGCTAACACGAACGCATCAACACTACCGCGCTGCCCGCTCTAATGTGAAACAGCGCTGACACCACTGCGCAACCACTCACACCCTCAACACTTCGGCGCGAACTCTAAAGCGCGAACACACGAACGCTCAGACTACCCGCCCATCCGGTTGGCACGGCCGGACGCGTACGGCGCGAACGAAGCTCGACGTGCCTACGAGCGCCGCCCCTCTCACGCTCGAGCGCCGCCAACGCCGGGGGCGGCCGCGACGAGGGCCGAGCGCCGTTGCTCACCGTGGCTCTCGGAGCTCCGCGTGCTCCCCGCGCTCCCCGCGTCGCCCGCGTCGCTCAGCGACCGCCGCGAGTGGTTGGAGGCGGCCGGCGACGACGCGGCGGAGGAGGAGGACGAGGAGGAGGAGGCGGCGGGGGACGAGGCGCTGGACCTGGACCCGCCGCTCGCGGACGCGTCCCGGCGGAGGAGCGACGACGGGGCGGAGGAGGGCGGCGGCGTGGGCCCCGGCGACGAGGTGGGGGAGGCCGCGGCCTGCGGCTGCAGGAGACGCAGCACCTCCTCGAGCTGGCGCTGCAGCCGCTGCTGCTCGTTGTCCTTGGGGGACTTCTGCGCGCGGAAAGAAACGGAGGGGCGGGGGGGGCGTGAGGAGACGCGAAGAGACGCGAGGAGACGCGAGGAGACGTGAGGAGACGTGAGGAGACGTGAGGAGGTGTGAGGAGACGTGAGGAGATGTGAGGAGACGTGAGGAGTGGGGTTAGAGGCAGGGCGTCTTCACGAGGACCACCAAAATTCCTCTTAGAGCAACAAAATAAAAATCGATGTCCCCCGCCTGACCCCCCCGACCCCGCCTGACCCCCCCCCCCCGCACTGTACTCCCCCCCTCCACCACCGTACCCCCACCCCCTCCCCACGACACCCAGCGCCCCCCACCCCCCTCGACCCGGCGACCGTCGTCACGGCGACCTTGGAGTGAGCGGCGAGTGCGGCGAGGGCGATGACCCCGGCAAGGAGCAGCGTGCCGACGGCGAGCACCGCCGTGTCCCTGGCGGCCGCCTCGCCGGAGCCGTGCGTCACCGCGGCCGTCAGCGTCGCGGACGCTCCCTGGGCCTCGCGCTCGGCCCGCCGCAGGATCGTGGTGGTGAGCCGCTCCGTGGCCGCCGGGTCCATCACCGTGACGCGCTGACCCGGGGCGGGTGACGGGGGACGGGAGGTTAGGGTCGCGCGGGGGGGGGGGGGGAACCAGGGTGGGGGGGTGGAGGGTGTTGGGTTCGTAGTGCAGTGCGACGACTTCCACGACAAAGACAAAGACCCCCCCCTCCCCCCGTGTAGCCTTCACAGGCTGCTGGGGAAAGTGCTGTTAGCGAGCAGCACCGATGAAGGCCGGCACGCCACACGAGAGGGTGGGTGGCCAGCACCACGCCCGGACGCCTTTGTCTCCCCAGTGGCGATGTTTACACATCGCATCAGGTACTCACTTGAGGTTGAGTCGACCTAGGGGAGGCCCAGGACCTATTAAGATAATCGTCACTTTTGTTGACTGTGAGGTTCATAGCGCGGTGCGCCAACGTCCACGCCACCGCTCCCCGCACACACTACAGCTGCCAGGGTGACATCACCACAGTGTTTGTGCCAGGCTAGGTTCACTATGAGGCCGCATTAAGTGTCGAAGGCTCATTGGCAAGAGGTCATGTACCAGACCCAAGTGCCATCGGTTGACTGACTGAGATGACTGGCAGATGCAGCACCTGTGCCCCCTGCTGTGCCGTTTTAGCTTGCCTGTCGCTCCGATCGTTGTTGTGAGCGTTGCTCCTCTGTCCTCTATAGTTATTGGAGGACGACTAACTCCAACTACCCAATGGTGTCCTTCAAGAGACTCCTCCACATACCAAGCCATTGCAAGCAGCTTCCGTTTGGCCAGATAGAGGGGGGATAAACGGGCATGGCTCGGGCTCTCGATGAGATGGGCTGATGTGGTACAGGAGGATGTAGAGCCGAGTGGACTTATGGAGATGCACATACCCACACACTCCCACCCACACACCTAAAGACACTCACCCACCGAACCACACCCACACACACACACAGGGGATCTCACAAGTACCTCCTGCAGAAGCCGGTGGTCAGCAGAGGCCGCGGGCATGTGGATGTTCAGGAGGGTCGTGTGAGCTTGGGGCGGGAGCTCGTGGTGACCTGGGGGCGGTGGGTTGGTGGGGGGCACGGCAAGGGGGCGGGGAGGGTGAGAGGGCGGCACCAGGGTCCACGTGGTGCGTGTCACGTGCAGCCCTCTCGCTCGCGTGGTGGCGCGCTGGACCATGGACAACTCCGATTCGCACGGCTGGCTGCGTATGTGTGTGTGTACGTATGAGTGTTGAACTTCTTTCACAACAAAGTACGTGGCCAACCGTGGTTATCGGAGGTGCGGGGGGGGGGGGGGCAGCACTGTCTCCCCGGTGTTGTTGTTGTTACGACACCACTTTTATTGGCCGTGAGCGGGAATCGAACGCAGGTCGCCGGGTTCGTCGCACAATACGCGAACGGCACGCACGCACGCACGCACACGTGGACAAATGTGATACAAAGACAAAGCTCTCCCTATAGCCTTAACAGAGTGTTGAGACAAGTGGTTTGGCGAGCACCTGACGGAGGCACACTTCTCGGCCCTTACCCAGTAGCAGCCACCGCTGCTGAAGGAAGCTGCCGTGCGCGGCGACCCGGGCGGGCTGGGCACCCTCGCCGGCAGAGTCCGCGTCCGCCCGGCGCTCGGCATACTGCACCTGCGTGCGGGGGTTCATCTCGCACGCGTGGCCAGCCTCGTTTATCGTCACGTCCTTGGTGGTCGGCCCTTCGATGAGCGGCATGGCCTGCCCCCTCGGCTGTGAGCAAGCGGGCACACGGAGTCCACAAGGGGGGCAGGGCGAGCCGTCGTCGCACGTTAAACACGCACAAGGAGCACCCCCTCCCCCGCCCCGTGTAGTCTTCATGGGACTGCCGGAGCAAGTGTTTTAGTAGCGAGCAGCACGTACGAAGGGCGGCATGGCTGCGGGGCACATGAGGGGTTGGGTGGCCAGGAATTGCGCCCAGCCGCTTTTGTCTCCCCAGTGGCAACGAGACGTAGGCCCGGATCAGATATGTCGCAATGATGGTGGCCACTGCCCCCCCCCCCCACCGTCACTCCCCAACGCTCCGCTCCCCCCACCGTCACTCCCCGCCGCTCCGCTCCCCCCACCGTCACTCCCCGCCGCTCCGCTCCCCCCACCGTCACTCCCCGCCGCTCCGCTCCCCCCACCGTCACCCCCCAACGCTCCGCTCCCCCCACCGTCACCCCCCAACGCTCCGCTCCCCCCACCGTCACCCCCCAACGCTCCGCTCCCCCCACCGTCACCCCCCAACGCTCCGCTCCCCCCACCGTCACCCCCCAACGCTCCGCTCCCCCCACCGTCACCCCCCAACGCTCCGCTCCCCCCACCGTCACCCCCCAACGCTCCGCTCCCCCCACCGTCACCCCCCAACGCTCCGCTCCCCCCACCGTCACTCCCCGCCGCTCCGCTCCCCCCACCGTCACCCCCCGCCGCTCCGCTCCCCCCACCGTCACCCCCCGCCGCTCCGCTCCCCCCACCGTCACTCCCCGCCGCTCCCACGACTGCTCGTGCCCCTCCATCGCCGTCACGGAGGGGCACCGCGGGTTAAGTGGACAATGGAGCACTGCCCAATTGACCATTGGACAGTGCTCCACGGTCAATTGGGCAATTGCTCCTTGCCCCCCCCCCCTTCTCACTCCCCCCACATCGATAGGGGGCACAGGGGTCACCGTTTAAAGTTGCAGCATCGGTTGTGGCTAGGCAGCGTTTTTCACCTCTCTCTCGTTTGCCTGTTTGTACGAGAGCGGCCCCAAGCGGCCACTGCTGGTTTTGTTTGGGGTTGAAGGTGAAGAGTTGAGATTTAGGGTTGGGAATATTCGGGTTAAGGATTGGGGTTAGCATTCGGGTAGGGTTTAGCGTTTAGTTTTAGCAGTTAGTGTTCAGGGCTACGGGGGCGTTATTTTCAGTGGGAGTGTTTAGGGCTTAGGCTGGGTTGCTCCGGTTTTTGTTCGTGTTAAGGCTGGAGCTTAGGCTTAGTGTGTTCAGGTTAGTGCGAGTGTTGTTGTTAGGCCTGCAGGTGGTGTTCAAATTAGTGATCGTCAGTGTTGGTGGTTGTGGTGAGTGTAGTGGTGAGGATTAATTGTGAGTAGTCGTGTGAAGTATCGCTGTTAGTGTTCATATTCATGCAAGTGCGGCGGTCAGTGGTGGTCGTTGTGGCTAGCGTTGTGGTGAGCATTCTGTTTAGCGTTGTGGTGAGCATTGTAGTGAGAGTTGTGGTGAGCATTGTGGTGAGCGACTCACCATTACGGAGACGCCGTCGTGAACCAGGGAGTGCGACGCGTACAGGCTCGTGGAGTAGCGGCCCACGTACAGCGTGCGGCTGTCGCAACAGCACGGTGAAACAATGGGATGGTGAAACAACAGCACGGTGACACAACGGCACGGTTACACAACTGCACGGTTACACAACAGCACGGTGACACAACGGCACGGTGACACAACGGCACGGTGACACAACAGCACGGTGACACAACGGCACGGTTACACAACAGCACGGTGACACAACGGCACGGTTACACAACAGCACGGTGACACAACGGCACGGTTACACAACAGCACGGTGACACAACGGCACGGTTACACAAGACACCAAGATCCCCACCCGCCCCCCTCCCATAGCCTGAACAGACCGATCAGGTGAGTGCTGAAGTAGCGAGCAGCTGGCACGGCGCATGAAAGGGGTGGTGGGTCGCCAGCACCACGCCCGGCTGCCTTCGTCTCCCCAATTCTTACATTTCCACAACGGACCAGGTACTTATTTAAGGCTGAGTCGACCTAAGAAAGGCCCGGGTTCAATTCAGTCATTCGTCACCAGGGTTGGCCGCCAGTGGGAATTGACCGCGGGTCGCCGGGTTCCACCCGCAGCCTGCTGAGGACTCCGCCACACAATCGCCCCACGCTCACCCCACACTCGCCCCACGCTCACCCCGCAATCCCCGCACGCTCACCCCACACTCGCCACACACTCGCCCCACGCTCACCCCGCAATCACCGCACGCTCACCCCACACTCGTCTCACACTCGCCCCACGCTCACCGCAGCTTGGTCTTGAGCGTGGGGTCGTGCGGGGGCAGGGTGTAGCGCCCGCCGGCGCCCGCCGCGGACACCGAGAGGTAGCGCAGCGTGTCCGCCGCCAGAGTGGAGAGGGGGGCCTTGCGCAGGACCCCGTCGGCCCCCCACGTGTACACCCCCACCACGGGGGAGCCCAGGTCACGCGCCCACATCACGGACGTGGGACCCTCGCCCCCCACGGTCACCAGCAGTCCCTCGCCACTCGCGGAGAAATGCGACAGCTCTGGGGCACCGGGATGGGGGGAGTGGGGTAGGGATGGGGGGAGTGGGGGGGGAGGTAGGGAGTGGGGGGGGGATGGGGGGAGTGGGGGGGGGAGGTAGGGATGGGGGGAGTGGGGGGGGGATGGGGGGAGTTGGGGGGGAGGTAGGGATGGGGGGTGGAGGTAGGGATGGGGAGTGGGGGGGGGAGGTAGGGATGGGGGGTGGGGGGGGGAGGTAGGGATGGGGGGGGGAGGTAGGGATGGGGGGGGGGGGGGGGGAGGTAGGGATGGGGGGAGTGGGGGGGGAGGTAGGGATGGGGGGAGTGGGGGGGGGAGGTAGGGATGGGGGGAGTGGGGTAGGGATGGGGGGAGTGGGGGGGGAGGTAGGGAGTGGGGGGGGGATGGGGGGAGTGGGGGGGGGAGGTAGGGATGGGGGGAGTGGGGGGGGGATGGGGGGAGTTGGGGGGGAGGTAGGGATGGGGGGTGGAGGTAGGGATGGGGAGTGGGGGGGGGAGGTAGGGATGGGGGGTGGGGGGGGGAGGTAGGGATGGGGGGGGGAGGTAGGGATGGGGGGTGGGGGGGGGAGGTAGGGATGGGGGGAGTGGGGGGGGAGGTAGGGATGGGGGGAGTGGGGGGGGGGAGGTAGGGATGGGGGGAGTGGGGGGGGAGGTAGGGATGGGGGGAGTGGGGGGGGAGGTAGGGATGGGGGGAGTGGGGGGGGGAGGTAGGGATGGGGGGAGTGGGGGGGGGGAAGGTAGGGATGGGGGGAGTGGGGGGGGGGAGGTAGGGATGGGGGGAGTGGGGGGGAAGGTAGGGATGGGGGGAGTGGGGGGGGAGGTAGGGATGGGGGGTGGGGGGGGAGGTAGGGATGGGGGAGGTAGGGGGGGGGGGGAGGTAGGGATGGGGGGAGTGGGGGGGGGGGAGGTAGGGACTGGGGGGAGTGGGGGGGGGAGGTAGGGATGGGGGGAGTGGGGGGTAGGGATGGGGGGAGTGGGGGGGGGAAGGTAGGGATGGGGGGAGTGGGGGGGAAGGTAGAGATGGGGGGAGTGGGGGGGAAGGTAGGGGGTCACGGCTCATCCTTAATAAAAGAATATATCTTGACACTTCCTGTCGACTACACACACGGCCTTCTGAAAGTGCATACTTTTCACAGCATTGATTCAAAGCAAGCGAAAACTCTGCACCAGTTTTGACGCTCAGTGTCTCATCAGCAGTGGGTCCAGTCTTGCTTGGAGGAGTAACTTTAGTGACATTTAAAAAAAAATCTCACATTACCCCCTTCCCTTACCTTGCCCCCCACCACTCTCCCCCCCACCCCACCCACCCCACCGGAGGACCACCCACCCCACCCCTACTCAGTGGCCATCAACCCAACCCGTTTTGTTTAAATTCCCAGCAGGCGATTGGTTGATAGTGTAATGACTACTTGACACACTTCTCTTGAGATGGCACTTTATTGAAGACGTGTTCACTTGATATGAAGCAGAGACCCCCCACCGCAACAGCCCCGGGTCTCCCACGCATCTCCCCCTTATATACCAACCGAGGCCACGCCCCCCTTCTCGAACCTTCTAGCTGACTCTGGAAGCTCCCTCCACCGGCAGACTCCACCATCCTCTTCCGTCACCCGACCACGCTCCCTTCTCGATCATTCCCGTAGCCACTGGTCCCTTCGCACTCACAGCTGACTCCCCTATTCATTACCTCCCGTGACCGCTAGGGCATTCGCGCTGTCGGCTGACTCCCCTGTCAGTACCTCCCGTGGCCACTAGTCCACTCACACCGCATGCACGCTCTACTGCCATGACAATAGAAATGAGAGTAACGTTACTGTAGTCCGTGTCGGGTCCCAGTCGCGCTGCCGAGTAGTCGTAGTAGGTGACGTTCCAGCGCAGCTCGCCCGCCTTCGTGTCGAACATGGTGATGGTGTACACTGGGGAGACATGAAGATACACAGGTGTGTACACTGGGGAGACATGAAGATACACAGGTGTGTACACTGGGGGACGTGAAGATACACAGGTGTGTACACTGGGGGACGTGAAGATACACAGGTGTGTACACTAGGGGGACGTGAAGATACACAGGTGTGTACACTGGGGGATGTGAAGATACACAGGTGTGTACACTGGGGGACGTGAAGATACACAGGTGTGTACACTGGGGGATGTGAAGATACACAGGTGTGTACACTAGGAGACGTGAAGATACACAGGTGTGTACACTGGAGGGACGTGAAGATGCGCAGGTGTGTACACTGGGAGACGTGAAGATACACAGGTGTGTACAATGGGGGATGTGAAGATACACAGGTGTGTACACTGGAGGGACGTGAAGATGCACAGGTGTGTACACTGGGGAGACGTGAAGATACACAGGTGTGTACACTGGGAGACGTGAAGAAACACAGGTGTGTACACTGGGAGACGTGAAGATACACAGGTGTGTACACTAGGGGATGTGAAGATACACAGGTGTGTACACTGGGGGATGTGAAGATACACAGGTGTGTACACTGGGAGACGTGAAGATACACAGGTGTGTACACTGGGGGATGTGAAGATACACAGGTGTGTACACTAGGAGACGTGAAGATACACAGGTGTGTACACTGGGAGACGTGAAGATACACAGGTGTGTACACTGGGGGATGTGAAGATACACAGGTGTGTACACTGGGGGGACGTGAAGATGCACAGGTGTGTATACTGGGGGATGTGAAGATACACAGGTGTGTATACTAGGGGATGTGAAGATACACAGGTGTGTACACTGGGGGATGTGAAGATACACAGGTGTGTACACTAGGAGACGTGAAGATACACAGGTGTGTACACTAGGGGATGTGAAGATACACAGGTGTGTACACTAGGGGTTGTGAAGATACACAGGTGTGTACACTAGGAGACGTGAAGATACACAGGTGTGTACACTAGGGGATGTGAAGATACACAGGTGTGTATACTGGGGGATGTGAAGATACACAGGTGTGTACACTGGGGGGACGTGAAGATACACAGGTGTGTATACTGGGGGATGTGAAGATACACAGGTGTGTACACTGGGGAGACGTGAAGATACACAGGTGTGTACACTAGGGGATGTGAATATACACAGGTGTGTACACTGGGGGATGTGAAGATACACAGGTGTGTACACTAGGGGATGTGAAGATACACAGGTGTGTACACTGGAGGGATGTGAAGATACACAGGTGTGTACACTAGGGGATGTGAAGATACACAGGTGTGTACACTGGGGGATGTGAAGATACACAGGTGTGTACACTGGGGGGACGTGAAGATACACAGGTGTGTACACTAGGGGATGTGAAGATACACAGGTGTGTACACTGGGGGATGTGAAGATACACAGGTGTGTACACTGGGAAACGTGAAGATACACAGGTGTGTATACTGGGAGACGTGAAGATACACAGGTGTGTACACTAGGGGTTGTGAAGATACACAGGTGTGTACACTAGGGGTTGTGAAGATACACAGGTGTGTATACTGGAGGGATGTGAAGATACACAGGTGTGTACACTGGGGGACGTGAAGATACACAGGTGTGTACAACTGGGAAACGTGAAGATACACAGGTGTGTACACTGGGGAGACGTGAAGATACACAGGTGTGTACACTAGGGGATGTGAAGATACACAGGTGTGTACACTAGGGGGACGTGAAGATACACAGGTGTGTACACTAGGGGATGTGAAGATACACAGGTGTGTACACTGGGGGGATGTGAAGATACACAGGTGTGTACACTAGGGGGACGTGAAGATACACAGGTGTGTACACTAGGGGATGTGAAGATACACAGGTGTGTACACTGGGAGACGTGAAGATACACAGGTGTGTACACTGGGAGACGTCAAGATACACAGGTGTGTATACTAGGGGATGTCAAGATACACAGGTGTGTACACTCGAGGGATGTGAAGATACACAGGTGTGTACACTGGAGGGATGTGAAGATACACAGCTGTGTACACTGGAGGGATGTGAAGATACACAGGTGTGTACACTGGGGAGACGTGAAGATACACAGGTGTGTACACTAGGAGACGTGAAGATACACAGGTGTGTACACTGGGGGATGTGAAGATACACAGGTGTGTACACTAGGGGGACGTGAAGATACACAGGTGTGTACACTAGGGGATGTGAAGATACACAGGTGTGTACACTGGGGGGATGTGAAGATACACAGGTGTGTACACTAGGGGGACGTGAAGATACACAGGTGTGTACACTAGGGGATGTGAAGATACACAGGTGTGTACACTAGGGGGACGTGAAGATACACAGGTGTGTACACTGGGAGACGTGAAGATACACAGGTGTGTACACTGGGGGGATGTGCTGACCGCATCACCTGCTAAATAGGAGCTCACTGACACTCGTCAGGAGGGGCAGTTGGAGGCAAGTGGGAGATGTGAAGGCTGTGGGACGAGGGGAGGGGCTTGTGGAGGGGCTCGTGGGGAGGGGCGGTAGTGGGGGCGGGGTTGGCGGGGGCGGGAGGGGCTGGTGTGGGACGGGGTAGGCGGGGGAGGGTCTGGTAGGGGAGGGGCTGGTTGGGGGAGGGGCTGGTGGGGGGAGGGGCTGGTGGGGGGAGGGGCTGGTGGGGGGAGGGGCTGGTGGGGTGCGGGGCTGATTGCCCCCAGGTGGGAGACGCTGGGGATTGGCTGCCACATCGTGTTGGGATCACTGCGCCTTAATCGAAGAGTGCCCCGGGGTTTAATTGGCTCTCGGTGTGAGCGGCTCCAGAGCGTGGAGACTCAAAGGAGGGGGTGGCAACCCCCGTCACGATTTCTTGAAAGCCGCCCCCACCCACCCCTCCCTCCCTCCCCCAGCACCTCACAACATTTTCAATAGCCCCCCCCCACCGACCTCATACCCAGGCACCCCAAACAATGCGTATCCATGCACCACTGATGATCCGTTTCCCATGCCCCCCCCCACTCACTCCAACAAACCCCTTCCAGAAGCACGCTAATAGCCCCCCCCGACCCTCCCACCCTTCCCCCCCACCACGAATATTCTCCAAGGCCCCCTCCCCCCCAACTACCTCATAAGACAGGCAACCCGCCCACGATCCCTTACGGCTTACTCCTCTAGGCCCGGTCACCGAATCGCATCGCACTTTCAGATGCGCTTCTGCGGGCCGTCTGGAACGCTCTTGCTTCCGGTATTGGGAAGCCACTGGGAGTCTGTGCAACTTTTGTTTGCCCACCACCACCACCCCGCCACCTCCGATTAGCACGGTTGGCTACGTACGGTGCGAAAGAAGTTCGGCATACAGTGCGTACATCCCCCGCCCGCCGCTTACCTGTGCGGCCGATGTAGATGAGGCGTGGGAAGGGGTGGACCCCGTTCGAGAAGGCGGTGCTCAGAGTCTGCATCTTCTGTCCGGTGGTGGGGTCCACAGCGATCCACAGGTCCTGCTTCTTACCTGTGGGGTCAGGGTCAAGGTTGTATGTATGTATGTACGTTAAACTTATTTCGTACCGTACGTAGCCCACCGTGCTAATCGGAGGTGTCGAGGGAAGGTCAAGAAACTAAACACAAAAAGCAGCTCTCAACAAATTATTTTTTTAATTTACATGATTTAAAAGCGCATAGCTCCGGTAGCTTTTCAATATCGGAAGGAAGAGCGCTCCAGACGGCCACAGAGGCGCATCTGAAAGCGCGCGATGCGGTGACCACCGTCTTTGTTCGATGGTTAGCCAAAAACCCCGCTGCGAAGATGACCGGAGTTTTTATGCTCCTTGACGAGATCAGCAAGGCATTGTGGTTAATTTGCAGCAAGGTCGGTAAGGACTACATTATCCTGCTTCTTACCTGCGGGGTTAGGGTGAGGGTTGAGTTTAGGGTTGGGGGTTATAGTCCGGGTCGGGGTCTGGTTGGTCAGGGTTTAATTTGTGGGGTTAGGATTGGAATCAGGGCCAGGGCTAAAAGCTTGCAAGGACCACAGGTCCTGCATTATACCTGCGAATCCACGAGTCGTGGTTAGGGTTACATTCAGGGCCACAGTTTGTAGTTTGTTACTGGTTGTTGGGGGGGATAGAATGAGCGTTAGGGGGCTTGTGTTGGTTAGCATCGGGGTTGTTTTTAATGATTGGGCTGAGACGACTTTTAGACGCAGGGCTTGGTGCAGTGTTAAGAGTTGAGGTTTAAGGAGGGTATTGGGGTCAAAGGTGCGATTGGTGTCTGGGGTTTGGAGTAAGCCTGGGGACACCAAGGGGATACCAGGGGGACACCGGGGGGACACCCGGGGTAGGTAGGGGGATGGCGGGGCTCCGCATACCTGTGTATAAGACCCCGTCGGACGTGCGACAGGGAGAGGCGTGAACCAGCTCCGGAATGGTGAAGGGCAGTTTCTGTGAGACACAAGACGTGAGACACGGGACATCGGACACGGGGCGACGTGAGACACGGAGGACGTGTGACCACACACACACACACACACGTGCCGGTCTCACACTGGGATGTCGTCAGATTGCATCGTGAGCTGTGATTGGGAACGTCACTGACACCTCCTTCGTGAGGCTCGTCACGAGGTCAACCTCACTGTGAGCGTCCCAGCCCCTCACCCCCCTCTCGTAGCGCCAGGGGGCTGGGGAACAATCCACGGGCAGCACCGCCCCCTGCAGCCCAGACTCTGCACTGCGCCGCGTCTCGCAGCGGCGCTAAAGCGTTTGGGGTGGGGGGGGTACCCGGGGATGCTGGAGGGAGTTTGTGTGCGAAGATCATTTATTTCGCAGGTGTCTCAACGTTCACTTCCTTCCTTCTGCCAAATGCCACAGCCGCTGCACGGGCAACACCTCGTGACCTCAAACGTCTGTCCTGACAGTGCCATCCCACTCAGAGTAAGAATAATTGGTAAGATTTTAAGTGTAATTTGTTTTTTTTTATTATTAATTGTATAAATTATTTTAAATAAATAGTGCTTTCTTATACATATGCAATTGTTTGTTGTTGTTGTGGTAAGTCGAGATATATCTACATCAGTCCTCTACGGTTGGCCTGAGTGAAGAGTGGTGGAGCTGCGTCCATTTCCCAACCCTGGCCCAGCCGGACTCAACAACTCCATACACCATCAACAGCAAGCCTACTGGCAATGTTAGTCTATGGGCAATGTTAGTCTATGGGCAATGTTAGTCTATGGGCAATGTTAGTGTATGGGTAATGTTAGTCTACGGGCAATATTAGTTTGGGGGTAATGTTAGTCTATGGGCAATGTTCGTCTATGGGCAATGTTCGTCTATGGGCAATGTTCGTCTATGGGCAATGTTAGTCTATGGGCAATGCTAGTCTATGGGCAATGTTAGTCTATGGGCAATGTTAGTAGATGGGCAATGTTAGTCTATGGGTAATGTTAGTCTATGGGCAACGTTAGTATATGGGCAATGCTAGTCTATGGGCAATGTTAATCTATGGGTAATGTTAGTCTATGGGCAATGTTAGTCTATAGGCAATGTTAGTAGATGGGCAATGTTAGTCTATGGGCAACGTTAGTATATGGGCAACGTTAGTATATGGGCAATGTTAGTCTATGGGCAATGTTAATCTATGGGCAATGTAAGTCTATGGGCAATGTTAGTCTATGGGCAATGTTAATCTATGGGCAATGTTAGTCTATGGGCAATGTTAATCTATGGGTAATGTTAGTCTATGGGCAATGCTAGTCTATGGGCAATGTTAGTCTATGGGCAATGTTAGTAGATGGGCAATGTTAGTCTATGGGTAATGTTAGTCTATGGGCAACGTTAGTATATGGGCAATGCTAGTCTATGGGCAATGTTAACCTATGGGTAATGTTAGTCTATGGGCAATGTTAGTCTATAGGCAATGTTAGTAGATGGGCAATGTTAGTCTATGGGCAACGTTAGTATATGGGCAACGTTAGTATATGGGCAATGTTAGTCTATGGGCAATGTTAATCTATGGGCAATGTTAGTCTATGGGCAATGTTAGTCTATGGGCAATGTTAATCTATGGGCAATGTTAGTCTATGGGCAATGTTAATCTATGGGTAATGTTAGTCTATGGGCAACGTTAGTATATGGGCAATGTTAGTCTATGGGCAATGTTAATCTATGGGCAATGTTAGTCTATGGGCAATGTTAATCTATGGGCAATGTTAGTCTATGGGTAAAGTGACGGGGCTGTGTCCTTGCCCAATCCTGGCCCAGCCTGGCTCAACAACTCAACACACAAATAATGAGCGCGGTGCAGTGGTTAGCGCACTGCACTACGAACCCTGTAACTCAACAACAGGTCGACTCCGCCTCAAATGAGTACCTGGTGTCGTGTGTAAATATCAGGCTTAGGGAGACAAATACGGCCGGGCGTGATGCTGACCACCTCGTGTACCATGGTAGCCTTCATAGGTGCTCGCTAACAGCACGTGCCCAAACAGTCTGCTAAAGGCTATATGGGGGATCTTTGTTTTTGACTCCTCCCGCTCCCCCCCCCTGTTTACTATGGCCTTGAATCGGGAATGAAACTTACCACCAATCCCTCGCTGTCTGGCCCTCCCAGGGAGTACAGGGTGCCATCCATGGGGTCGGGGAGGAAGGCCGGTCTGTGGACAGAAATATAAATATCTCAGGCCATGATGGCATACAGCGTGGACGTCCAGAACGAAACACCTCATTCGAGACCCAAACATTATCGCACCTCCTGGCTTCGACATCCACCCCCCCCCCCTCCTCCTCCTCCCCCTCCTCGAAGGCACTGGCTGAACCATCAGCCGCATCAGAACATCAACAGCACGCCGACGCCACACCACATCTCCTTCATGAATGGAAAATGTAAGACGCGTGTCACAGAATGTCGCTTTAGACGCATTTTGGCGTCCTCTGGTCTAACACCGTTTGCGACTAGGCTCGAAAGAAAGCTGTCTCTGGTGTGGACCAATCAGTCTTGTTTGTCATTCTGACCACAAGTATTGTGGTTAATGCAGACATGATTCCTTGTAAAAGGTTTCAGTTTGGTGTTTTAACATGTTAACACTGCATGGTCTTCCCTGGCTCTCGGAGAGGGAGAGCGAGGACGACTGAAGAGGCGCGATGAGGAACCACAGACAAGCGGGAAGGCAGCAGCCACGCGATGAGATGGTTGCGAACAACGGCGCGAGCTCTACATATTAAGGTGTTATTGGCCAAACTCTACTAACATTTTTATCTTACCAGGTAAGACCCACTGAGCTGTATGGCTCTTTTGCAGAAGCCCCCTGGACACAAATGATAGCTCAACGAAGTGGCTTATCACGTTGGAAATGTATAGCAGCCAAATACTATAAACACATGTTGCTAAATGTGGAGGGAAAAGCCAGAGGATCCGGAGAAAGATCCACGTGACCACGGAGAGAACATGCAAACTCCAAATATGCAGGCGTCAGGGTTGCGATCGAACCCACGACCTCCTGCATACCAGGTGAGGGAGATAACATCTCGTCACTGGGGCACCCGAACTCAGAAAACAGGGGGAGAACATACAAACTCCACACACTCACAAAGACAAAGATCCCCCGTGTAGCCTCTAAAGACTGTTGGGCAAGTGCTGTTAGCAAGCACCCATTAAGGCCGACACGGCACACGACAGAGTGGGTGGTCAGCACTACACCACCAAAACCCCAAGGGTCCAATGCCAGGCGAGGCACTTAACATTTCGCCACCGTGGCGCCACTAATGAGTGTTTACACGCGGGAGGAAACCGGAGCACCCGGATAAACCCGACGCGTGCGAGCGAGGGCGAAACGCTCTATCCCGCCTTCCAGACGGAGCGGTACGGAGTCCACATGCCAGCCGCACGCCCACCCACGGCGGAGAAGGGAATGTCGCGACATTTGTTACGGCGATCCCACCAAGCCTCGCTGCTGCCACCACGGCGCTGCACGGACAGGCAGCAAGCAACGCGTGCACTCAATGACGAGCGCAGGCAGAGCGCCACGTGTTCGTGTGATTGCGCAACGATAAGCGCGCGGCACGCGTTGAGTTTCGTCTCGCCCAGTCGCCTTTGAGCCGCAAAGCCGCTCGCGCTCGACGCACGGGGGTGATGACTTACTTGGTCAAGTCCTCTGGCACTTGAATAACAGGATCTGCGTGTGTGTGTGTGTGCGAGGGGAGGGGGAGTAGTGGGTTGGGTGAGAGGGGGAGAGTCAGAGGGGTACGGTTAGACACACACGCGGTCACTATCTCATCCATCCCCACCGGCTCGAGCGATTGGTGCTCAGTCGTGCCAGCAGCTGCCAGCTGCTGCTGCCACCACGACTCGACTCCACCACCAGGCAGCAGCCTGGAGCCACCATTCACGCCTCTCCCTCTCCAACTACCCGGTGGCCCCCCAAACTAGAACACCACACAGCACGTCAAATTGCACCCGCCCCCCCCCCCCCCCCACAGCATTATATACCCCCCCCCCCAGTTGCCCTGCCCCACCCACTCTATCCACCCGATTGCCCCCCTCCCACTCCACGCGGTTTCACCACCTGCACTCTAAACAGCTGACGCCACTGCCCCCTCCCCATGCCCGATCCCAACCCTCCCACCCATACCCGGCCCGCACTGTGGAACCCATGGGGTGTCCCACCCTTCCCCTTCTGCTTCACCACTCCCCCCAGCACGCACCCTCTCGCAGGGCCCACATGACGTCGCCCGTGGCCCGGCTCACGGCGTGCAGGCGCCCGTCCAGCGTGGCCACGAAAACGAGGCCCTCGGCCACGGACACCTGCGACTCGCCCTGGACACAGCGGGCCAACACGCAGGCCGAGATGGCGTCAACAACAACAACGCAAGAACAACGACAACAACAACAACAACACAACAACAACGACACGCAGCAACAGGGCCACACTCAACCTCCTCACTCCATCATCATCAATCATCATTACACCGATGCGCCCAATTTAACGCGTAGGCTTTCGCGACCAGTATTATCCACATTAAATATGTATGATGCAAGTACTATAATCAATATAATAATCATTATAATCAATCTGCGCCTTAACCGACCCCACAAACTAACTTTCTTCACAGTTCTGTAATCGCCAGCGAAACATCGGACTCGAATTGTGTGTGTGTGTGGGTTTACTCTCCAACACACCGTTGTGCTGAACTAGTAACGAATTGGCAAACCTCGCTAATTGACTGTGTCGGGTGGTGGCGGGTTTAACGACACATTTATATTTACGCGATCGGACAGCGCAAAAAACGCCTTTACTATGGATCCATGAACCCAGCTCGGTCGGGAATACGAATGAGAGGTAAAGGCGCAGCTCTGCAATGGCTCGCTCACGTCACTGCTGGCGGAAGAGCCCTGCACGAGAGGGGCGCTCTCAAGAAGTGCCTCTCAACCTTTGTTTGGCTACCGTGACCCCCCACCCCTTGCAAGACCCAACATAGTTCCGAGAAATAAACGTGTGAATAATGACCCTCAATTCTTTAACCAACCGTCCATGCTACGAGTTACCCTAACTAGCTCGTAACTGCAAGCGAATTAAATAAAAACCAACGGGCACCGCATGCACGAGATCATTTATTCGTGCTCGCTTGGTTACTCATGGAAACCACGTGGTTTACGATCAATGAGTTTAAAAAAATGCCTTTTGATCTCGTTCTAGGTTCACGTATGGATTTAAATTGTCTCGTAGTTATTTTATATTGGCAGATTAGTAGACGATTATGCACCAATGACTCTCATGTACGATATAACTTCGCACGATTATAAATCACCTCGCGTTACCCCCCCCCCCGAGACTTTGCCACGTAACCCCCAGGGGTCAGCGTACCCCCGGTTGAGAGCCACTGCTCGAGAGAGAGCCCCCTCTCGAGCACATCGTGAGCTAGTAGCGGCATGTCCACATTCATATGGCGGGGGCCAGTTCATCTATATTACAAATAACACAGCGGTCTTATAATAGGTGAATTTCGGACCAACGTCCTTCTTAATTGGGCATAATTAAGTGCAAAACATTTGGCAAGCTTGATGCGCAACGCTCACCACACACACACCACACACACACAGTTGCCTAACCCTTGCGAATGTCGTCACGGAATCTTTAACGTCCACTGTCAATGGCGCCTATTGTACATTTCGATTTTCCCTCTCCAGCCCACACAATGTTGTTGTTGTTGTTGATGGCACAGAACGTGTTGAGTTGTTTATTGTTGTTAACTGTACTTGTGCACTACTTCCAACGCAGCAGCAGCACCACCACCACCAAATAATTGGACCGTGCACCACGGAACGAGCGCGCGGGGTTCCACGAGCGGATTCAGGGGCCGTGTTACGCGGGGGGTGTCAGCAGAGGCCGGCGCGGTAAGAAATCAGCTGTTGTACTGCACTTCTATGTAACCGCCTCTATGATCCCCACCTTCACTGACTGGCCACCGATCGAATCTTCTTCGTGTGGCTGATGTCGAGTGTGGAAGAGCAGCTGTCACTTTACATTGAGGCGGTTGATGAGCAAGATGACTGCTGTCTTGATGCCTCCTTCGTATTGAGCATCGTGTGAGTCTATGGCTCTCTGTGTGAAACTATGGCTCTTTGCGTGAGTCTATGGATCTTTCTGTGAGTCTATGGGTCTTTGTGTGAGGCTATGGGTCTCTGCGAGAGTCCGTGGGTCTCTGTGCGAGTCCGTGGGTCTCTGTGTAAGTCCATGGGTCTCTGTGTAAGTCCATGGGTCCCTACGTGAGTCCATATGCGTCTCTATGCAAGTATATGGGTCTCAGTGTAAATCGATAGATCTCCGTCTTCTTCATATGAATTATGTCGACGGACAGCAACAACTAGTCATGTACATTGAGGTGTATCCGCATCTGCTGCTGCCGCCATGGTATGTGTGCGGTTGCGGTTTCATAGGTTGTGGCCCAGAAGCTTCAACGGAATACCCAAGCCAGGTAGACGTGGACCCACTAACCGCCACGATCCGCACGTACTGCGCGTGGTGATGCCCTTTATTCCAGAAGGTGGATCGACCAACAGGGGCTGTCCGGGTTAGGTGCAAACTAACTCCGCGGTGCGAGCACAAATTAACCTTTCGTCGTCAGCACTTTTGTTCCCCGCGACTTCACTCTCCGGCGGGCTGGGTGTTTGCTCGGGAACGGGTTTATCGAGTCTGCGTGTGTAACAACTCTCCGCGCCGCCCAATTGCCCCGAGGGTGCAGAAGAGAGCGGAGAGGAGGGTGTGTGGGTGGATGTGTGGGTGGATGTGTGGGTGGATGTGTGGGTGGATGTGTGGGTGGATGTGTGGGTGGATGTGTGGGTGGATGTGTGGGTGGATGTGTGGGTGGATGTGTGGGTGGATGTGTGGGTGGATGTGTGGGTGGATGTGTGGGTGGATGTGTGGGTGGATGTGTGGGTGGATGTGTGGGTGGATGTGTGGGTGGATGTGTGGGTGGGTGTGGTTGGGTGTGTGGGTGCGTGTGTGGTTGGGTGCGTGTGTGGTTGGGTGTGTGGGTGGTTGGGTGTGTGGGTGGGTGTGTGGTTGGGTGTGTGGGTGTGTGGTTGGGTGTGTGGGTGGGTGGGTGGGTGTGTGGTTGGGTGTGTGGGTGGGTGGGTGGGTGTGTGGTTGGGTGTGTGGGTGGGTGGGTGTGTGGTTGGGTGTGTGGGTGTGTGGTTGGGTGTGTGGGTGGGTGGTTGGGTGTGTGGGTGGGTGGGTGGGTGTGGGTGGGTGGTTGGGTGTGTGGGTGGGTGGGTGGGTGTGGGTGGGTGGGTGGGTGGGTGTGGGTGGGTGTGTGGGTGGGTGGATGTGGGTGTGTGGGTGGGTGTGTGAGTGGGTGTGTGTCAGATGCATTCTATGACCTCCTGTCACAGGTGCTGGCTAAAGTGGCCCCTCGGGATAGAGTCATCATGTTGGGTGACTTCAATGCCCGAGTTGGTCATGATACTGGCACCTGGTCTGGAGTGATTGGAGGGCATGGGCCAGATTAGCTCGATAACAACGGTAGGAGGCTGCTAGATTTTTGTGCAGCCCATGGGCTTGTAATTACCAACACGCTGTTCCGGCATCGGCGCATCCACACAACATCATGGATGCATGCCGGGTCCAAGCAAGAACATCTGCTGGACTACATAGTGACAGACCAGCGAATGCGAGCCCATGTCCTTGACACCAGGACCTACCGTGGAGCTGATCTGCCCTCTGACCATCGACTAGTCATCTGTAAGATGCGCCTACCATTCTTCCACTCTGGTGGTGGGTGTACACCCAGGACCCCATTCCAACATAAAGTGGCCTGGTCTCAGTTATCTGATGAAAGTTGCAAGCGAGAATTTCATCATCGCTTGCGGCTGGGATTGGCATCGTCCCCGACTCATCCTGATGTCGAGGGTAAATGGGCGAGGTTTAGGACTGTGACTCATGCAGCTGCAATGGCTGCTTTGGGAACGTGGTCCAGACCTCCCCAGAGACCCTAGCTGACAGAGGAGGTGTTCAAGATGGTTGAGAAAAAGCGACAGGCCCACTGTCATCGGCTACAAAATCCCACGTCAGAGAATGAGGAGGCTTACCGCAGCCTTCGCTCGGAGGTTCGGAGAGCCGTGAGGCGCTGCAAGGATGGGTGGTGGTCGCGGGTTGCTGAGGAGATGGAGTCTGCCTCAGTGGCCCGTGATCTCTATTTAACTCCATCAAAAAAGTAACCTGCAGCGCCACACCTATTACCATCATTAGGGGAAAAAACGGTGATTCAATCTCCGACCCCCAGGAAAAGGTTCGCAGATTTGCTGAGCATTTCTGTGAGGTCCTGGTGGAGGGAAAATCCCTCAGCCAGGAAAACATTGTGGCACAAAGTGAGGATGACCCTGCTGAGGCTGCGGTGCCTCAAATATTAGAAGAAGTCACCCCCTGTGAGTGGCTGGCTGAGGTGCCATCTGCTGAGGAAGTATTGAAGGCGATCCGGAGTCTGAGACCAGGAAAGGCAGCGGGCAGAGATGATCTCCCAAGCGAAATGCTGAGGGAGGGTGGCGTTTGTGCACAGACTGCCCTATATGACATCATAACAACAGTCTGGACCACTGGACGGGTTCCGCAGGATTGGAAGGATGCCCTGGTGGTCCCCCTTTTTAAGAAGGGGGACCGCACAGACTGTAACAACTACAGGGGCATCTCACTCCTCAGTGTGCCGGGAAAGGTCCTGGCAAGGATTATTCAGCATCGCCTTGCCAGGCACGCTGAGGAGAGGCTTGCGGAGCCCCGATGCGGTTTCAGGAAAGGGCGGTCCTGCACAGATGCCATATTTTCTGTTCGTCTGCTACAGCAGAGGTGTAGGGAATTCCAACAAGACCTACATCTCTGCTTTATTGACCTGGTCAAGGCCTATGATACCATCAGTAGGCCTGGGCTCTGGGTCGTTCTTCGTGCTTTTGGAGTACCTGACCCTCTGCTCACGATCATTAAGGACCTTCATGATGGTGAGCGGGCCCGGGTAAAACTACGCGGCCTGGAGTCAGAGCCATTCCCTGTACACCTTGGGGTGCGACAGGGATGTCCTCTGGCTCCCACATTATTTAACATCTATTTTGACCACGTAGTTCGTGAAGCCTTCAATTGCTGTACCGGGGGAATCTCCATATGGTACAGATACAATGGGAGGCTAATCGATGCCCGGGTGCGGTAAAGGGATGGCTCTCTATTGCTCAACCACGTTATGTATGCTGATGATTTGGTAATAGCTGCTCAGTCAGAGGAGGAGTTGGAGACGCTGCTGCTGAGACTGGAGCGTGCCACTAAGAGGTGGGGCCTTACCATCAGCCCCACCAAAACTAAGCACCTACCTGGGTATTTTGTACCATCAGACACTCCACCCCCACAGTTCCCAATCGGTGATGGGGCAGTTGTAGAGAGAGTGGAGAGTTTCCCATACCTGGGCAGTGTGCTTATGACTGGCTCCAGTTTAACAGCAGAGGTCTCACTCCGAATCAGTCGAGCGGCAATATCTTTTCATCGGTTGCGTAACGCTGTGTGGAAGCTACCTGGTCTGTCGCTCCGCACTAAGCTTCAGGTCTTCTCGGCCACGGTCATTCCCTCCCTTCTCTACGCTTGCGAAACGTGGACCCCCCTAATGGAACATCTTCGCCGGTTAGAAACATTTAGGCTGGCCTGCCTACGATCCATCCTGGGTTTAACCGGACTGGATTGTGTGAGGAGCTCACAAATCCTTGAAAGATCTGGGCAGGGTCCCATCGGTGAGCTCCTCCGGCAGGCAAGGCTGCGATGGCTGGGTCATGTAGCCCGCATGCCCAGCCACCGCATGCCGAAACAGCTTTTGTTTGGCCGGATTGAGGGGGCTAAGCGGGCGCGGCACGGGCTAGAGAAGAGATGGAGTGATGTGGTACAGGAGGACGTGGAGCTGAGTGGACTTGCCGATGACTGGTACCAGCGGTGTCAAGATCGGCCTCTGTGGAGGAGGCTCGTGAAGGATGCTACTGGGCAGTTGGAGGCAGTCGCCCTCCAACAACAACGGAGGGCAGAGGAGCGACGCTCAGAACAACGAGCGGAGCGCCGGGTGGCTAAAGCACAGCAGGTTGGCACAGTAGGGGGCACAGGTGGTGCATCAGCCAGTTATCTCAGTCAGTCGACCCGTGGCACCTGGGTCTGCCCCGTGACCTCCTGCCAGCGGGCGTTCAACACTTCACGTGGCCTCAGGGTGCACATAGCCTGGCACAAGCGTCGTGGTGACGTCACCGCCACTTAGTGGCGAATGGCGGTTGTTGTGTGGTTGGGGGTGTGTGGGTGGGTGTGTATCTGTGGCCCGGGGCGAGGGCCTCGTGGGCACAGAGCCAGCCGTGCTGAGGACCCACACAAGAGCTTGGCCGAGCCCTCCCTGAATCCCTGTCTCCCAATGTGAGATAAAGGCGCAGCCCTGCAATTTCTCGTTCACGCCACTGCAGCCGGGGGGAAGGGGCTTCGATTAGGTGGGGGCTGGCGGAGGGGGCTGGCGGGGGGGGGGCTGGCGGGGGGGGGACGGGGGGAGGGGGGCGGGGGGAGGGGGGCGGGTGGAGGGGGCTGGCGGGAGGGGGGCTCTCTAGATCCTCTCCAGAATCGAGGAATAGGTGGCAGTACCCACACTTTACCCCACCGCACGCGACTCGCCGATCGTCATTTGACAACTGTGCGCTGTGCCAATAATGTGTTACTGCTCGGTGGGCAGAGACGGGATTTCAGAAAACCCTTCAGCACTTATTTCAACTTCCGCGCCGGTTAGGCAGAATCTAACCGGCGGCGTTCTCTTGTTCGCAAGTCGCTGTGCACTGACCATCGTGATGCTCGCTTGTGGCAAGCATGGAAGACTCGCGATAAACAATACGGTTCAACGATGTGTGTACAGGGACTCCTCTACTTACGAACGAGTTTGGTTCCACGAGTTAGGTAAGACGATGTATTCGTAAGTCAAAACATTACTCCTGTCGATTCCAAGCATGTAGGATATGTACACTAAACACGGAGAATAGCTTTAAACGCTGTATAATATCCTGCAGATGGAGATGCCACCGGTTCTTCACGTTCTGCAGATGTAGATGCCACCACCGCCATCTATTGCGCGGCGGTTGAACTTACGACTCTAGGTCCGAACAGGCAACTGGACACACGGGCAGGTTTGTTCGTATCTCTGAAAGTTCTTAAGTCGAATGTTCGCAAGTAGAGGAGTCCCTTCATGTTGAACTTCTTTCGCACCGTACGCAGCCAACCGTGCTAATCGGAGGTGCCGAGGAAAGAAGAAGAACAACAAACAACAAACAACAAACAAAGCACCTCGAAAGAAATTAACGACGAGGTAGGCTCGAGCGCTGTAACGAGACCCGATACCTCTTCATGCGAGATCCCGGCGAATCGATGATTTAAAACTGGAAATGCAACCCACGTGCACACCCATACAAAGGATAACGAGTCTCTCTGTGTGCGCGCGCGCGGAGTGTAGAGGGCACGGGAGATTCCGAGAGGGCTTTTACTCTCGGGACCTTCTTATCGACTGGAAAACAGCGGACAGGCCACATCATTGGCGAACACTTTAACATGACCCCCTCCCCCATTGAAAATGAGTCTTGAGACTTGCAGAGGCCAGCTGGATAAACACGCGCAAATGTGTAGATAGCAGTCGTCATTTGAGTTATCATCATCTTCATGATCCTCGTCATTATCAGCAATTGCATCATCATTATCATCATCATCCACGATGACGATTACTTTCGTAGATCAGCAGCACCGCCATCATCACTTCCACTATCGTCACTATCGTCACTATCATCATCATCATGCCCATCATCATCATCAGCTGCACAGGCATTGCTACTGTGGCCACCACCACCACCATCATCATTCCGATCATCGTCACCATCACCATCACCCTCATCAGCCACATCATCATAAATGAATTTTAAAATATCGACACGAGACACCAGGCACCGTGGGCACGGCCGGTGGGCACACAACGTCCGTGCGTGACGTCAGCCACGCAACCGCGAGCGGTCTGAGATCGGCGTCAGGTCCCACGCCTGTCACAATCAACTCTGTCAACACCGACTCTCAGCCCACTCACTGACTCTCAGCTCACTGCCCCTCGCCCACTCACCGACTCTCAGCTCACTGCCCCTCGCCCACTCACCGACTCTCAGCTCACTCACCTACTCTCAGCTCACTCACCGACTCTCAGCTCACTCACCGACTCCTCAACTCACTCACCGACTCTCAGCTCACTCACCGACTCTCAGCCCACTCACTGACTCTCAGCTCACTGCCTCTCGCCCACTCACCGACTCTCAGCTCACTGCCCCTCGCTCACTCACCGACTCTCAGCTCACTCACTGACTCTCAGCTCACTCTCAGCTCATTCACCGACTCTCAGCTCACTGACTGACTCTCAGCTCACTCACCGACTCTCAGCTCACTCTCAGCTTACTCTCAGCTCACTCACCGACTCTGAACTCACTCACCGACTCTCAACTCACTCACTGACTCTCAGCTCACTCACCGACTCTCAGCTCACTCTCAGCTCACTCACCGACTCTCAACTCACTGACTCTCAGCTCACTCACTGACTCTCAGCTCACTCACTGACTCTCAGCTCACTCTCAGCTCACTCACCGACTCTCAGCTCACTCACCGACTCTCAGCTCACTCACTGACTCTCAGCTCACTCACCGACTCTCAGCTCACTCACCGACTCCTCAACTCACTACCCCTCCCTGACCCACTCCCAGCTCACGGCAGAGCCCACGTGGCACTCACCTCTTCCGGACTCTCTGCATTGTTGCCCTGCAAAATGAGCAGCATCAGCAGGGGCACGAGCCTGGGCAGCAGCAGCCTGTGCAGCAGCCTGGGCAGGAAGGGCAGTAAGGCCCTGCCCATGTTGAAAGAAAACCACCTGGGTTTCTCTTTAGCGAGGTCACATCACGTCTCATGTGCAGTCCGTCCTCTCATCACCACCTCCGCCACCGCCACCATCAACGCATCACTGCGCCCGATCACAACTTCAGTTTTGCTTGGGGGCGAGTAAAACCTCCCTTTTTTACGTTGATTAAACTCGTTGTGTTTACCGAGCCGGGAGGACTCGGCAAGTTCCGGCTCAGGCGTGTTGATGCTAACTTTCGCTCAGAATATCGATTTATCTCTTTTGCGGCTCTCAGCATCTGCCATTGGTCGCGGGGCGCGAGAGGTACGGGGCCACGGGAGAGGCGGAGCGCACAGGTGGAGCGACACGGGAGGTGAGGGTTGGTGGGGGGGGGGGGGTTTGGGGGAGCTCCACCTCGCTGATTGGCTGGCTTACGCGTACACCTGTGCATAGGAGACGCCTCTACCTCCCAGCGCACACCTGTACGAGGGCGGGGGGGGGGCGCACCGGGCAGAGACCACGGCTACCGCCACCTCCCAACGCATGTGGCGGACGCTGCCTCTGATGCATTTGCGGGACAGAGCAACCAGGATGCAGAGGCGGATGCAGCGATTGAATCCTCATCGACGCTTTGCTGCCACTCGCCGCCGCCCCTCCCCCCTCCCGGTCTCCTTCTCTCAAGATGAAGGAGTCAGCATCAACGATCACGAGTCAACACGCCAACGGGCGCGCGTTTCCGAGTTGCCACCATCCTGCCGTGTTTAATGATCAACTCGGCATCAGAACACGAACCCATCTCATCGCTCCGTCTCCTCGGTTGCCCGTATTCTCGGGAATATTTCGCACCGTCGTCCCCGCTTGGTTGGTGACGTTGGCGTGAGCGGTCGCAGAGGTCGTGACTCCGATCGCGAACCTGACGCCTGCTGTACATTTGGAGTTCGCGTGTCTCTCCCTCCCCGTGGTCGCGTGGATTTTTCTCCGGGTCCTCCGCGTTTTCCCTCCGCATTTAGAAGCACGCGTTTGGATTATTTGGCTGCTGTAAATCTCCACGCGATGAGCCAACTTCGTTGGGATATCATTTGTGGCCAGGTGGCTTCTAAATAAGAGCTACATAGGTCAGTGGGCCTTACCTGGTATCATAACACCATGTGAGACGAGGCTCTAAAGAAAGCTGTCTCGGGTGTGGACCAATCAATTTCAAGGACAGTGCCACATACATTATCAGAGTTGTTGTTTTTTGTTTGCGTTCCGACCGCAGGTATTGTGGTCAATGTAAACATGACTCCATGTAAAAAAAGGTGTCAGTTTTATTGCCAGATAAAAGGGTAAAAAAAACAATTATCATATTTTGTTACTGGCAAATGAGGTTTCCAATGGCATAAAAAAATATAGTTTAGTTTTAGGTTTACGCTTTGAATCCAGCGGCCGCCTCGATTAATACCGTGGGTCTATCAACCGTACGAATATTACGCGCCGTCTGCGCCATTCACAGTGGACGTTAAAGATTCCGTGACGACATTCGCAAGGGTTAGGCAACTGTGTGTGTGTGGTGAGCGTCGCGCATCAAGCTTGCCAAATGTTGAAGAAAAAAAATTTGCAACGCGAATGACTCAACTGGAATCTACACAGTAAGCCCATCACCCCCAAGTGTTGGCAGGACCCTCACGAGACTCGGTGACGCTTAACCTGGGCAACGAACACATTGGACCGAAGCGCTCATGGTGCATTCACAGTGCACGCTTGTGATTGCAACGCGAAAACTCAAAGGCGCTGCCTCGGGTACGGGCTTAGCGAACGCCGTCTCCTTCTTCTCCTCGCCCACCTCCCTACTCCGTGTGGCCCCCACCCCTCCGCCCCGCCTGGCCACCTATGAACCCGGCGTCCTAAGTTCACCTCCTGGCCGCGGCTAACGTCGGTGATATCTGAACCTCCCCAATCACTCCCACCGCCTGCCCCCCGCTCGTCACCAAACCGGCCTAGACCAGCACGGTGAAGTATGGCCAAACAACCCCCATGGCCTACACAGAGTCGGTTGACTTTCGTCCAGCAGTGGATTGGCAAAGCGCCGTACAGTACATTGTAACTCCGGTACACAATCTTCTTTGATATTCGTAGAGCGCCTCCGCTCAAGGCGCTTAACACGATTTCGAATTATTTAGATGGCAGGGGCGTGCTGCAAGGGTTGCGGAGTGAGCGACAGCGATTCGAGGGGTACTCAGGGATCACGGAAGGGCTACAGGAGAGGGACGGGAAGGAGTGGGAAGGGGCCAGGAGAGGGAATGGGCGATGGAGAAGAGGCGAGACTGCAGCCAGATTTGAAGAAGGCCTGCGGTGGGCTGCCCTTCTGCAGAGCGTGAAGATGCTCCGACCTTGTGACTGCACCGAGAGAGGTTTCACGTTGAGAACGTTAAAGTCGCAGCAATATCCCGATCTCGTCGCTGCTGGTGGAAGGGCCTCTGCCACGAGGAACTTTCTCTCTCGAGTGCAGGGGTCTGAATCATTTCAAAGAAGAATAGTAGTTTGTTTGTCTTTGACCAAAGCATCGTATGACAGTCGCATCACACACGGAGCGACTTGTACACAAACACACGCAACAGGTATACAGCAGACGACGAACACATTCTGGCTTAAATAAACAAAATACGTGATGGAATAAACTGCGTATATTTAGTTTTTGCCCTCCTTATTCTTTAAGCAATACAATATGACTGTTGTACATTGTGTTATCACCAAGACATTCCATATTGGGCTATTCCTTGCCATATTTAATCAATTATCTGTACATGAAATTACGGTTAAGATTTAAGTTGAAACAAAAATAACGGCTGCCTGCAAGGGGGCAGCCAAAGATTCGCAAGGGGGCAGGAAAAGAGTCGCAAGGAGGCAGCCAAAGAGCCGCAAGGGGGCAGCCAAAGAGCCACAAGGGGGCAGGCAAAGAGCCACAAGGGGGCAGCCAAAGAGCCACAAGGGGCAGGCAAAGCGCCGCAAGGGGGCAGCCAAAGAGCCACTAGGGGGCAGCCAAAGAGCCGCAAGGGGGCAGCCAAAGAGCCGCAAGGGGGCAGCCAAAGAGTCACAAGGGGGCAGCCAAAGAGCCACTAGGGGGCAGGCAAAGAGCCAGAAGGGGGCAGCCAAAGAGCCACTAGGGGGCAGGCAAAGAGCCACAAGGGGCAGGCAAAGAGCCACTAGGGGGCAGCCAAAGAGCCGCAAGGGGGCAGCCAAAGAGCAACAAGGGGGCAGCCAAAGAGCCTCAAGGGGGCAGCCAAAGAGCCACTAGGGGGCAGCCAAAGTCACAAGGGGGCAGCCAAAGAGCCACTAGGGGGCAGCCAAAGTCACAAGGGGGCAGCCAAAGAGCCTCAAGGGGGCAACCAAAGAGCCACTAGGGGGCAGGCAAAAAGCCGCAAGGGGGCAGCCAAAGAGCCACAAGGGAGCAGGCAAAGAGCCACAAGGGGGCAGGCAAAGAGCCACAAGGGGGCAGGCAAAGAGCCACAAGGGGGCAGCCAAAGAGCCACAAGGGGGCAGGCAAAGAGCCACAAGGGGGCAGCCAAAGAGTCACAAGGGGGCAGCCAAAGAGCCGCAAGGGGGCAGCCAAAGAGCCGCAAGGGGCAGCCAAAGAGCCACAAGGGGGCAGCCAAAGAGCCACTAGGGGGCAGGCAAAGAGCCACAAGGGGGCAGCCAAAGAGCCACTAGGGGGCAGGCAAAGAGCCACAAGGGGGCAGCCAAAGAGCCACTAGAGGGCAGGCAAAGAGCCACAAGGGGGCAGCCAAAGAGCCGCAAGGGGGCAGCCAAAGAGCCACAAGGGGGCAGGCAAAGAGCCACATGCAGCTCCGGAGCCGCAGGTTGCTGACCCCTGCGCTCGAGGGTATTCCGTCTCCTCTCGGCCTGCGTTTTCACTACAGGGCTGGGAAGCTTGGGAGTATCCCCCCGATTCATCCCACCGAACGCGACCTGCCGACCCGAGACCGGCCGTGACATTACTCATTTGTTCTGCTGTGTGAATATCAGCGGGGGGCTGGTAGTGGGGGGGGGGGGGCGAGTGAGATTTGATTAACTTACGCCACACTATCAACTGCCGTGCCGGGGAGGGACAACCGGCATCCTCTGGACTGCAAGCCCCAATGCGTTAACCATGAAACCCCGGGCAGCACGATTGTATTGAATTATATATATACTATGTAACACAATTTTTGTTCCTGGGTACTAAGTGCTAGTTTTTTAATTGCTTATGCCTAAAAAGTATAGAAAATGGCTATTATTCCCCACAAACTTTGCTTTTGTGACCAGGACTTTATGTGAACGAAAGACACAAATGCACACCACGTTTTCTCATTGAAAATAGATACATTTCAAAATATCAGTGTCCTGGTCACAAAAGCAAAGTTTGTCGGGAATAATAACCATTTTCTGTACTTTTGAGGCATAAGCAATTAGGAAATAACACTTACTACCCCAGAACAATTTTTGTTTGTTACACGGTGGATCATTGGGTAAGTTGTCCTCTCCAAAACGATTTCCCAGTGGTGTTTATCTTCCGGGCCAGAGTTCTGGCGTCCTCTGCTGGAGGGGATTATCTCTACACTTTAAGCATCGTAGCCTTGTCCGTGCCTCATTAATCCCACTGCGATGTAAAATTAAGAATCCATTACATCACGTGGGTTATGAATCACTGCCTGGGACCCATAAAACATTATCTTAACATACTTTTGACAAAAAATATTGAAATTCCTTCGATTTTTGTTTTTATTCGTATTCAAGTTATATTATTACAGACCCCATGACGTTATCTCAAAGAAGCTTTTTGCAGATGGATTTACCCACGTGTATGGTCGGACATTGTAGCGGAACAGAGCGCCACACGCAGACCCGTGACTCAAAATGATCGTTGGGGAAAATATAAAAAAAAACAAATACGCCTCGACATATCCGCCTGTCCACGTGAGAAAAATAATAAAAGTATATTTCTTATACGACCCATCGCCCTTCCGGGAGAGAGTAAGTTGAACCTCTTTCGCACCGCACGTAGCCAACCGTGCTAATCGGAGGCGCACAGAGAGCATCGTAGTTTCAGCAACATTGCTTGTAGACACGCAACACTCCGGAATCGGTGTTGATCTTCCCGGCGTTTCGTCGGGCTAGCTTGATGAACCAATGCTCGCGAACTGACACAGACAGACGGACGGACGCACGGACCGAGTGATGTTATTGCTCCGTGGGGTTCCTCTGGAGGGCACGTGGCACACGGGGTTCAAGTGACGCGCAAGTGGCCCCTGGCTGAGTGGTCGGTGGTGAGGAGAGGGAGGGGTGCGGGTGGAGCGGGGCGGGGGGCGAGGGGAAGTCGTCATTGCTGTGTTTTCCACGAGGAGGTTACAGACAACACGAGTTTGCG